TTTTTTGCTTATATAAACTCACGTTTTTTCTACATCCTACATGTATTTGTTAAATTTAAACAATTTTTGTTAATCCCAGGCCCTGAAGATGATTTCAATAAAGATCGAAACTCGTTAAATTCACTAGTTTTCGTGGTCCGCTTGACCAATTAATATCTTTCAATTAATTAAGGTTTTTAGTTGAGAGAAAAAAGTCAGTGTCACGATCTTCGGCTAGATCGCCGCTGCTCTACCACTTGAGCTGTCGTGACCTCGATCCACTCGGACACTAACTTCCCATCTCAACCCCACCTTTCGAAGATCGAAACGTTGGCGCGATAAAGACCGCATCCTCACAATTTCCGAATAATCATCCATTAACGGTCACTAATCACCACACATAATGTGATATGTAAATGTATGCATCTGAAATAAGTAAACTTAGAAGAAATATAAAATGAACTATGTAAAAATTTTATGCTGCCTACAATAAAAGTTGATTGATTGACAGGTCCTCCTGTATGAAAAGAATTACAGGATTTTCTCAACTTCTCTCTTTGGGGCAACATCGTCCGTTGTAGTTTTCAAAATTTTATCTCATTTACGACCAGATCCTCGTTAATATCAATATCGAATAAATCCTCGGATATTGAAGCAATTAATCCTTCTTATTCCAGACGAAGAGGAGGTGTTACAGATGTATTCATCTGAGGATGACGCGTTAATTTCAAAAGCAAACCCCACAATCAGTCGCCCCTAGTCCAATTACGATTGCTAATCCCCCTCAGGCTCCTAACTTCATTTACTTTTGTGTAACAACTCTCCGTCCTTCCCCTCTCGCATCCCGTCCCTTTACTCATTAATTTATATTTAGTTCCATGTTAATATTTACTTTTTGTCCCTCCAAACGGCGCCGGGTTTAAAAAGGAAGACGGAATTTCCGAGCCGGGCTGTTTGAAAATTTCACCCTGTTGATCCTTTACATTCCATGAAACTTCGTCAATGTTAAGATTTGTTAATATACCGGGGGAAATATTTTGCAACGGTTTGAATAATTTTGAAAGGATAAGTGGCTAATATGTTCCCGACTCTGCCATGATTTCGGGGGACTTAGAGGTACGCCGAGAATTCAATTTGCGTTTCGGTAATCGGAATCGATACGGGCTTTGATTAGATCAGGACACTAAACCGAATTTCGAGGCGTCTTTCCTCAAGATCTTCACCGAAAGCATTCCTTTAGTCATTGATTGCCAACATTTTTACAAAACTGTAAAAACAATCTGGCCGACCTTCTTAAGAAGGAGTTCTTGTACAAAAGATCAGAAATTTGTTTCAAAAGTATTCTTTTTGTATCACTTCATAATTAAAAACACACAAATCTGCTAAAGCTAATAAATGTTCACTAGTTTTCGTGGTCCGCTTGAGCAACTAATATTTTTCAATTAAATAAGGTTTTTAGCAGAGATAAAAAAGGCAATGTCACGAGCGGGATTCGAACCCACGACCTTCGGCTTGATACCTTGATACCACTTGAGCTATCGTGACCTTGATCCACTCGGACACTAACTTCCCATCTCAACCACACCTTTTGAATTTTCCCTCCTTTTTGTCATTTTTCAATAGAAGCCGAAGGTCGTGGGTTCGAATCCCGCTGGTGACACTTACTTTTTTATCTCAACTAAAAACCTTAATTATTTGAAAGCTATTAATAAAGTTCAATCCATGTTAAATGACATTTCATCATTGTATTACTGCCAATCAGCATTCAATTTTACCTCAAAGTTTGCCATAAAAATAATCAAATTAAGCAATTTATTTTCACGTCCTCTTAATTTTACCAGCATTACATGATTGCTTGGATCTGCCTAAGCTCCACTTCTTTCTGCAGATTTCTATTTAAGTTTTATTTATGGCTCTTCATTCAGGTGAGTTGTGACAAGTCGCAACTGATGCCTCTGGGATATTTATCCCGTGGAAAATCGATGAAAGCTACTACTTTTTAGATATTTTTTCGATATATTTGGTCTTTCTAGAGTTTTCATTGTTCAAGTCAAGTTATTGGAAAAATGGTGAAGCCAATGGTATCGAGGATATATATAGTCTGTTGTGCGAGTTCTTTTCTTTTAGTTACTTGTTCTGCTTTATCAGCCCAGGCTATCCGTATGTGAGTAAATGTCTTACTATCATGGTGTACATCCATAACAGGGTTTCCGGTCTGCATCCCCAGTTTCTTCCTGCTATACTTCTGCTCGTGTCGCCTTCATGATGGTAGAGCTGATGTGTTTCTTAAATGTTACTGTTTTGTCTAGTGTGATGCCCAGATATTTGACTTCATTTTTGATTTCTATCACGGTGTTATTGAGTGTTATTTCCCTCATGTGATCAAGTTTCCTTTTCCGTGTAAAAGCGACTATAGTTGTTTTATTGGGGTTGATCCCAAGTCTGCGGTTTTACACCATTCTTCTGTGATTTTTAGTCCCTCTTGGATTATATCGCAGAGAGTTTCCTCGAATTTTCCCCTGGCAGTCTATGTCACCCGCATTCCCTGACATTTTATTCCTGAATGATCCAGGGTCTCAAGCAGTTCATCAACTGTTAGGCTCCATAGAAGAGGTGACAGTACCCCTCCTTGAGGAAATCCCTTGGTTGTGCTAACTTCTATAGTGTCTGTTCCTATATTTGTTTCAGCTATTCTAGTTCTTAGCAGTTCTCCAATCCATCTAGATGTGGTTTGGTCTATGTGTTTTTTCCCCACGGAGGCCTTCATTGATACATGAGATGCATTGTCGAAAGCTCCCTCAATATCGAGAAATGCGCAGATTGCTATTTCCTTTGTTTCCAGTGTTTCCTTTAGGTCACTAGTTAGCTGGTACGGTGCAGTTCCTGCTCTGTATGCATGCTAACAATAATGGAGAGGCTTGTCTACAAGTGCTGTCGTACTTATATGGTTGTCTATCAGCTTTTCAAGGGTCTTTAATAGAAAGGATGTTAAACTGATTCTGTAGGATTTAGGTAATGTAGGGTCTCTTTTCCCCACTTTTGGAATAAAAACCACCTTTGCCCTATGCCATGTCTGTGGTATGTAACCTAGTGCTAAACTATTTCTATACAATCGCAGCGATGTTGCAGTAATTATATCCGTTCCTTATTGGGACAATGGGTGAAGCCAATGGTAACGAGGGCATATATAGTCGAGCTGTGTAGTCCCAACTGATACCTCTTGGGCACTTATCCCTTCAAAATCGGTGAAAACTACTAATTTTTAGATATTTTTTGGTATGTTTGGTCTTTCTATAGTTTTCATTGTTCATGTGAAGTCATGGGGACAATGGGTGAAGCCAATGGTATCGAGGATATATAGTCGAGCTGTGTAGGCACAACTGATGCCTCTGGGACACTTATCCCTTCAAAATCGGTGAAAACTACTAATTTTTAGATATTTTTCAGTATGTTTGGTCTTTCTAGAGTTTTCATTGTTCATGTCAAGTTATTGGGATAATGGGTGAAGCCAATAGTATCGAGGTTATATATAGTCAAGCTGTGTAGTCTCAACTGATGCCTCTGGGACACTTATCCCTTCAAAATTGGTGAAAAGTACTACTTTTTAGATATTTTTCGGTATATTTGGTCTTTCTAGAGTTTTCATTGTTCATGTCAAGTCATGGTGACAATGGGTGAAGCCAATGGTATCGAGGATATATAGTCGAGCTGTGTAGGCACAACTGATGCCTCTGGGACACTTATCACTTCAAAATCGGAAAAAATTACTACTTTTTTAGATATTTTTCGGTATGTTTGGTCTTTCTAGAGTTTTCATTGTTCATGTCAAGTTATTGGGACAATGGGTGAAGCCTATGGTATCGAGGTTATATATAGTCAAGCTGTGTAGTCGCAACTGATGCCTCTGGGACACTTATCCCTTCAAAATCGGTGAAAATTACTACTATTTATCAAGTGAAAATCATCATTACTCGACTCGGAATCAGGCTGCGGTTGGCACTTGTGCCCAAAGTTGCTCAATTTGTCCAACTTAGTTGTAGGTCATTCCTTGACTCTAAACAAAGAGCACATGGGATTGACACCCAATATAAGAATTGTTCTTGAGCAGTGAATCTTTGAATTTTGAAAGAAAATTGGGGTATATCGTACATATATAACATATAACAGGGTATATAAATCAAGTTTGGATGTATTCTGCGTTAACTGTTTTGTGAGAATGTATTTATAAGCGTGAATGTGTAATACAAGAGAATTGTTAGTGAACTATCAAGTCAATCAATTAAACTAAGTGTAATTGTAGTTGATTATAACTGTAAAGGTTACTTGAGTTAATGATATGTAAATAAGAAAGAATGCATTTAAAAATGAACAAGTGTGTCTAGGTTAAAACTGCATTGCGAGCTGAAATGTCCTTGTTGTTTATAACCTAAATTCAGCTGTGGTAGGTCTGACCTCAAACTACCGAAACACCGTCGGAGATACGGCCGGTTTGATTATGCAGATATGTGTACGCATATGCATATATCTGGAGAATTGAACCCATATAAATCAATCAATAACCTAATAATCAAGCCTGAGATGAACAGTCCTTTGACGTAAACTGAACTATATTAAAAACACATTTATCACCTACTGATAATTAAGTTCAGTGATGTATCAATTACTAATTTTAATTAATTAACGTCTCCATGCGAATACAAACTACAGGCTGAAGTCAATTATCAAAATTTGTCTTCACATGCTGTTATTTATGTAATATTTAATGTTTTTGTTTCTTCCGTTTCAAATGAGTTTATTATTCACACAAATATTACTAAATAACTTTTTTTTGTGTTATTTTGCAATAATTGTATTTTTTATATATATATTTTTGCCTTGTCTCATACAGTGATAGCCATGAAGAAATTGTATTTGAAGTGCTGAACTTTATTTTCTGCTTGATTGATTTTCAAATGGTTCATAACTAATTTTTTTAAACAATACAGTTTTATTGTTCAAAATAATTATAGGAAGTGTTTTAGGTATACGACTGGTGGTTGAAGGATATGTATATGGGAGTCCGCCTTTGCCTCCCCATCAACGTAAATCCCGGTATGTTCCATAATGTATAAATTCATGGGAATAAACTAATCTTGCGTTGTTATATAAAGGAATGGTATTTCCACCGAGACAATTCAGAGGTTTTACCGACATAGCGAGATACGGTGCAAGAATTATATCACAATTGTCACAGTATAAGGATAAATTAGACAGGTTTGATATTGCGATAAATTGAACTGGAAATATTATTGTACCGTTGGTTTTTATGTAGAAGGGAGATTCCGATTGAAAAAGCGACCAGCCGGGAAAAAGGACAGCCTTTGTGTATGGCCCAGCATTACAGATTAATGACTTCTTACCGATTGCCTGGAATTGACTGTGACACACTGATCAACACTGAGCCGGATGGCCCTAGACTAGACCAGCATGTGATTTTAGCCTGCCAAAACAAAGTAAGTTACGGCTGGTCGTTACATAAAACATATTTACATAAATGTATGGTTTAGTTTTATGCAGTCTATCTCAGAAAGGGTGGTACTACTTTAACTGAAGATGAAATAGCAGGGCACATACTACAAGTTTTAGAAAGCAGTACTGACACGAAAGTATCAGCTATTGGCCTTTTAACTTCTCAACCTAGAAACATCTGGGCAGAGAATAGAGAAGCTCTTGCGCAATGTAAACCCCTTCGATACGCAAAATATTCTTTTATCTATTTATATTTTTCTTATAGACGAAGAGAATCGCAAAAGCTTCCAGTTGATTGAGCAAAGTTTGGGGATTCTGTGCTTGGACCAAAAGTCATTAGGGGATAAATTTCAAAGGAGGGGATGTGGACGGGGTGGAAAAGGCATGGTTTCTGGACTGCGTGATGAGACCAGCATGGCACATCAAATGCTACACGGTGGCGGGTCTCAAAGCAACACACCAAATCGGTGGTTTGACAAAACAATTCAAGTAAGTTTTTAATTTTTTTTTTTTAAATCTGTCTTAATAAAACTTTGTTTTGTTTCAGATTGTTATCGGAGTAGATGGCGTGAATGGCCTATGTTATGAACATTCCCCTTCTGAAGCTGTAGCTCTCATTGGTGTAATTGAAAATATTTTAGAAAATTGCTCTAATTTATCTGAAGAGCCTCTTACGCCGATGAGCACTGCTTTGCAAGAACTTCATTGGACTGAGCCACCATTCCTTACAAAGATAATAAATGAAGCTGCCCGTTCAATTGATAAGTATGTTATTTAAAATTTAATTATGCATATTATAATTATCTTTAATGTATTTTTTAATTTTAGCATGATAGAAGATTTAGATTTTTATGTTTATCGATTCGACGGTTATGGAAAGAACTTTATCAAATCTTGCAAAATGAGTCCGGACGCCTATATCCAAATGGCACTACAACTGGCCTACTACAAGTTGGTTAAATCACTAGAAAATTTTCCATTCCTGAAATAATTATAATTGAAATTGCAGATTATACGGTAAATTAACATCTACGTATGAAAGTGCATCAATTAGAAGATTCTGGAAAGGACGAGTGGACAATATTAGGTCAGCGACATGGGAAGCATATCAGTGGGTATCGGCGATGACACAACCAGAAGAAACAGGAGATCCTTTAATCCCGACTAAAAGAGTTACGTTTAGCCTCGTTACAGTATGTATTTAAATAAAGCTTTTGCATTAAGTAGGTAGGCTCTAGTTCCTCCATTTCATAAATTTAATCATAATCTTTGTTTAAGCATGTACCTTAAGTTATCCTAATTTTTCCCTACATTTCATTTTACATAACAGCCCAGTTAAGCATAAAACTACGTCGTTAACATCTTTTTTGCACACAGGATGCCGAAAAGCTGATGCTATTTGACACAGCGGCTAAAAAACAGACAGATATTATGATCGAAAATATACTTGGCCAGGGCATCGACAATCACATGCTGGGCCTTAGAGAGCAATCGCAGCTGATGAACGTCCCAATGACATTATTCAATGATGAATCATATAAAAAATTTAACCATTTTGCTTTATCAACAAGCCAGGTAATTATTTTTTTAAATTAAAATATAATAAAAAATCTAAATAAAGAGCGGTTTTTCATTTAGAATTTGTTTGTTAAAAACAAAAAGTTGTATAAAATTGTCTATTAATTATTAGATTCTTATTAATTTTATATCTTTTATATCACTCAGGCAAATAATTTCTATACGATTCTATACTCCACCTTATCTATCATCAATAAATATATTTTATTGATTTTTTTTACAAGGGTTCGCAACAGCAGAGGTTATATCGACCCTTGGGGTGCCAGTGTTTTTGAAAAAAAATCCCATTTGTAAGTAAGTCTGGCTCAAATGCATGGCCGCTGGATTCGAACCCAGGACCTTTAACTTACAGTGATGAGCGCCGTGTCAATGCATAAACCGTTGTGGCCACTGACACCCCATCAATAAATATAGATTTATTAACTTATTACACTTTTTAAAAAAAAATGGAAATTCTGTATGTCAGCACATAACCATTTTATGAGATGTACAAAACTTTCTCCATTGCCTTGATTTTTATTGAATTTGCATCCAGAATGGTGCAGGTCTTTTGCATTACTTCCTGTCTCGGTGTCATAAAAAATAGAAAGGAAACCGTTTGTTATTGAAAATTATTGATTTTGTTTGTACCTAGATATCATTCCAGAAGATTTTTTTTTTTATTTTTAATTAACTATGGCTATTTTGCCAATCTCTTCGATTTGTTTCGTGAACTCCTCTAGTTCGGTTGGCCCGGGTAGTCGATGAGTGTGGTCATATTAACGATGATTTGTATGATAAAAAATTGATTTTTTTTTTTAATTTTTGGTTAAACTTGACAAAGGAAAGATCATCATTAGCTTCTGTCATGGCTGACCTACTTTCCCAAATCCCAAATGTCTCATTTATTAAGAATGGTTTAATACGCTTTATTCAATGGCAGGCTCAGACTTTTAGAACAAAAATACAAACCTCTCATTAGCAAATAATATCATTGAAAACTATTTATCATTGACAGGTATAAATTATATAATGTACAACTCTTTTTTCCCATCTGGTAAAAGGGTTGTTTCAAAGTGAACAATTCAAAAGAAAATTTTACTAAAGTAAACCAATAGAATATAAATATAAAAAAAGAACTATAAAAGAATCGATTAATTGATTTTTAATTTGGAAAAGAAAAACATGTTCAGTACAGTCTGATTATTCAATTTTCTCCCTCCTGCATGGAAAAATTCCTTTTTCCTAAAAATGTTACACATCAAGACCCGCATGCAGGTTGGGCTAGTTCAGCACTGAATGTGTTAAACGCCTAAGTCACTCATTTATTATACAATAATTAACTTTTGTATTACATCCGGCCCGGAGGACCAAAATGTTATGAACTAGAAATATCGAGACAATCAAGAGGAAAGCATGGGTGTATAAATATATTATAAATAGATCAAATTAAACGTATTCAAGTTTGAGTAGTGAAGTCCATATTATGCGATATTCGAAGAATGCCCAACAGGGCCCTGAGGAAAGTCTAAATGTTCCTTGATTCATTGATCAACATAAACTCCCTTTTATGCAACTAAAATAAAACTTGTTTACTGAGCATAAACGAGAAGAAAATTTTTATAAAAAAGAAGAACTATAAGAGAAAAAGAGGCAAACAAGTTTTGCAAAATGTGGATAACTACGAACTAACTTCGAATCCTAGCATGATCGCTTGCTCTATGGAGCATACATCATGCTAAACACTGTTGCTAAAGAGTTACATTCATTACTGGATGCAAAAAAATTAAATTAGCATGCTACTAAAATGAGAAGACCTTCATATTATCTCGAACAAAATTGACTCGATAATGAAGGAAAACAAGACCAAGAAATTGAAAAAAAAAAAGAAAATGCAATAAATATGACTAGTTTTGGTAAAAAACTCAACTAAAAGTTTGATTTTTTTTTGAGAGGTTATTGTCTTAGAAGGGGATGAATTTTTTTTCAATAATAAGACAAATCTGTTTTAAAAATGTATCATTGGTGTAAAAAAAGTTTTCATCATCAACAAGAAGGATTTTTCAATTAAGAATTTCATTTTGAAAAAATTGAAAGAAAAAACTAATAGAGAAATTACGGGGTCATCATCAGGTTGAAGGAGTTACAAGCACAACTCTTGACACTGCGTTGATGGTCGATCGGCGATTCATGTTGAAAGACGTGTTTGTAACTGCTTCAACCTGATGATGAACTTTTAATGCTTGAAGTTCAGAAAGTTGTAAACAACAAATCTATGAATAGAACCATCATGTACAAAAAGTGAAACTAGTATAGTTCTGAAAACAAATCCAAGAGGGTGACAAAAAAGCCAGAGTTGATAGTGGATCGGAGAACACATGTTGAATCAGCAGGTCATAAACTGGATCTGGCTATACTCACCGATGCTACTCAAATTTGTTTCAGCTTTGTGTTTCTTTAGAAGTTGGAGGAGCCAGAGTTATACTTTATATAAAAAAAACCTAGATTTTTTTTAATGAGAGTTCACAACAGCGGAGGTCATATCAACCCTCAATTTGCTGGTTTTTGAAAAATTTGAAAAAAAGCCCTTTGTAAGTTTGTTGGGTTTGAATGCAGGGCTTGATTCAAAATCAGGACCTTTACCTTATAATGATGAGCACTGCCTATTTTTTGTGCCTAAACCGTTGCAGCCACCGACGCCCCCAACTACGTATATATCACCATTTTAAATTTTTCCATCCATTCCCAATAATTGAAAGTTTTTATAAGGTTCACCCGGTTTCATTTGAGGACCCAGAGTTATACTTTATATAAAAAAACCTAAATTTTTTTTAACGAGAGTTCACAACAGCAGAGGTCATATCAACCCTGAATTTGCTGCTGTTTTTGAAAAATTTGAAAAAAGCCCTTTGTAAGTTTGTTGCGTTTGAATGCAGGGCTTGATTCAAAATCAGGACCTTTACCTTATACTGATGAGCACCGCCTATTTTTTTATGCCTAAACCGTTGCAGCCACCGACGCCCCCAACTACCTATATATCACCATTTTAAATTTTTCCATCCATTCCCAATAATTGAAAGTTTTTATAATATTCAATTAATTAAGGTTTTTTTAAGTTGAGATAAAAAAGTGTCACGAGTGGGATTTGAACCCACGGCCTTCGGCTTGATATGCCGCTACTCTACCACAAGCTATCGTGACCTCGATATCTTCAGGCACTAACTTCCCATCTCAACCCCACCTTTTTGAATAGAAGGTGACGATAGCCCAAGTGGTAGAGTAGCGGCGTATCAAGCCAAAGGTCGTGGGTTCGAATCCCACTCGTGACACTGACTTTTTTATCTCAACTTAAAAAACCTTAATTAATTGAAAGTTATTAATTGGTCAAGCGGACCACAAAAAATAGTGAAGTTTTTATAAGGTTCACGCAGTTTAGTTTGATGTTGTCTGGACCTGTCTACTTTATTTTTATTTGTTTTTTAGTTCAGTTTGTCTTTTTTTCCTTCTAGTAATCTAGCATTTTTTAAATTAATAATATTTTAAGTTACACATTTTTAAATTTTTAGGTGGCTACAAAAGTTGGTTTCATGGGATATGGACCAGTTGTTCCAGATGGCTACGGCGCTTCTTATAACATCTTAGACGATTCTGTGATATTCTGTCTGTCTGCTTTCTATTTTTCGGAACTCACCAGTACGCCCAGATTCGCGCAAAGCCTTGAAGAGAGTCTCAACTCGATGCAAACTTTATTGCAGACCAGGACTTAAATTAACCAAAGGCCTTTTTAAACATTCTAACCCTTTTTGAAATGTAATCATGATCGAACGAAGTCTGCTCGTCGTACGGGATTGCTATTGTTTAAGCTTTATACAAAACAAATCGCTTTTTTTTTTATATTTTATTAACCTCAATGTGACAATATCATACTTATTGTAGGTTTTAAACAATGGCAATTTTTTGTTTTTTTTTTAAATAAAAATTGCATAAAATTCCGTGCAATTTTTTTTTCTTTTTTGTGTTAAGGGAAATGTAGTGTATTACTTCTGTGATTGTTACGTTACCAGACAAGTTTTTAATTATTCTCTTGTTATCTTTATAAAGAGTTTATTGCTTGATAAATAAAATTTTTAGAAGTGTTGAGAAATTTACAATCTATATATATATTTTGGAAATATAAATGTTAACATTATTGTTTATATTATTTTTTGTTTTTATTGGATTAACATTTACATAATGTAAATGTGACCAAGAAACAATACATATCAAGAAACATATCATTAGGAATATAAGACAATTAGATGTTAAGAGCTAACAAAAAAGAAGGTTCATTTCGTGATAAATTAACGTAAACATATCATAAAATAGAATCTGATTATTTTATTAATATATTAATCATGAAATTTGCCCTACCAGAGTGGTATTAGATGTAATACAGTAATTAATAATCCTGTTGTTATAAATAGAGAGATTTTTTATTCGTTCAAGTTTAAAGTATTTATCGTTCAAAAGTTATGACATTTCATAGTTTTATTTTTTATTTACGTTAGATTTATTTTGTGAATTATCTTTGCCCGCAGCTGATGTGAAAGCTTGTCACATCGCAATAGTTTTCACGAGGAAAAACCCAAGCACCGAAATGTGTGTGCTGTTAGAAACTATAGAATAGACGCTGTTTAGGCAGATTGCACGTGTATTAGCAATAGTACTTTAGTCAAGAGTGTAATAATTACTCAATAGTATTAAGGAAATGATACATATCATTGACTATTATAACCAAAATTGAATGTTTGCTGTGAGAAAGAGTTAATTTGAGTGTTTTTCACATTTAAAAAAAATCGTATATTGTATTTACTTCATAGATAAGTCACCAGTACAGAGTTTATGTTCTTTTTGTTTCAAATAATGCATAAAAAATAAATGCTCATAACATTCTTTTTATTTTAAAATGAACTGCATTTAAAATAAACGCAATTTAATGTTCATAAATCCTTTAATCCAGCATACATGCAGCCATTATTGATAAAAGATAAATATTTAATATTTATTAATCTATTTATCAATAAAATTGTTCTATTATTCCATTGTTAAAAATTAGTGGAGATATTTATTAATTTTTGCTAGTAATTTTGATAATTGGTGTAAAATGATCTCTGTTTTTTCTCTAATGCAGTAATTAATCATGACTGTCATTTTAAAATCTTGACTTCAATTTTCCTTTAATTCACTTATTTATTTTGCAAAATGTTTAATTTTGTCATAGTTCAATTATAAATATGTAAATAATATAAGTGGATTAAAGAATATTTTCTAAACAGAGTAAAATTAAAGAAACTATGTTTATTATTTTTTTTCTTTTATAACGTAATTTAAAAAAAAATTCAATAATAAAATCGGTACAAAAAAAATGTATTTTATAGGATAATTAACATAATATATAATACATATCATTATACAATACGATATTAGAAAAGAAAGCTTTGCGAGATAGTTTTATTAAAATATTTTATCGCCTCAATAAAATATCAAGTGTATAGTTAATAATTAACATTAGGTTAAATTGTGTAGTATTTAGTGACAGTTACTTAATGATTATTTAAAGATCGTGAGACACCAGTCATGATTTATAAATAATCATTAGGTTAAAAGATTAATATTTTTAATATCATCATATATCGTATCTGAAATGTAACATCCAAGTATAATTGTTTTTCTATAATAATAAAAAAAAATTGAGCCTTACATTATTATATAAAATACTGTAATTTTTTGCGTGTTTTCATGTCTAAATGTTTTTTGCGTTTTCTATATATTTCGTTCGTTTTGTTTTTTTTGCTGAACGCAAGATTTTCAACTTTGAAAATAGAAATGTTTAAAAAAAAAGTTATAGTTAGAAGTAACTCTCACTCTGTAGTGAGGCCCACACAGTATTTCTTGTCCAATGTGGAAAACTGCCCATAAATTTAATGATAAACAAATTCGTATGGAGAAAATTGATGTAACAAAATAAAAATAAAAATCCCGCACTGTAATGCTTTGACAATTGCTCAGAAATTATGATTGCCTTTGGTGTGAATTATTCCCTTAACTAACAAGTATCATACATAGAATATTAAAAAAAAAAAAGATAAATGCTTAGATTAGTGTATTTACCCTTGATAATTTATTGTGTTAAAGTAAAACAATTTTTGTTTTAAATGAAAAAAAAATCTAATAATATGTACATTTACTCTAATCATTATTCTAATAGTAAAAATATATTACAGTATTGCATTTTTGAAAAAAATACATATCAATTTATGGGTTTATTAACATAAAAAAAAATATATCTAAAGTGTAGTAGGTGCAATTTATCTGAAAATTAATGCGTGTTAGTAAACATTAAAAATATTTCTTATATGTCGTTACTCTGTGAGTAGGAAAGGCTGATCAAAGAGGACTCACAGGTTATAGTAAGTCTGAAAATAAACTTTTTTTTAATATTTATTTCAATGAAAGTGAAACGAACCAGATTCCTACTTATAACATTATTCATATTTCAATGTTTAAAATAAAAACTCATTTAAAGTGTTATTTAATAAACTAGTAATGTTTAATTCAAAGTATGACCATTCCAGTGTTTTTTAAATAACCAAATTTTAGTAGGAATTCATCGAAGAAATTGTACCATGTCTTTTAAAACATGTTTATGTGTTCATGTTATTGTTGTCAAACCAGTTTGTACTATTCAATAAATGTTTTGATGTCAGGTAAATCCACTGTTTATATTTATGTCACCACTTTCTGAATAATTAAATCGCAATATGCGAAAAGTACAGCAAAGTGAAATTTAAAAAAATGTAATGTTAAAACTAGAAATTTTTGGATGTTTAAGCAATTTATAATTTTAGCTGTTGATTTCAGAAAGCGCTTTGTCCAACGTAGATATTAAGTGATCGCCATCTCCCTTTGTAAATACCATGGGTGGCTTGAACTTGAGCACATTGCGATAGGGGCCATCAGTGCTTAGCAGGATGCGTAGTTCTCTCAACCTGCAAAAAAATTGAAAATATAATTATATAGAAACAACTTATATAATAGGAGTGGAGAAATAATCCATTAATAACATTTCTAGCACTATTCACTTTTTTTTTTTTTTTTTGCCAGGGAGGAAATTGTGAGGCCATTGGTGCTTTATGGATCTGTCGAGAGATTTCGAGACTAGGGGGTTGTGTTAGGGTCCAGGGTTTTATAGAGGCATCTGTCGACTTCCTGCAGTTTGTATGGGGGGGGGACTTAGAGATAAGAATAGGGATAAAAGAAGTGGCCACAAGGCCTTCTCGACCTGAGTAGATTTATTGTGCCTGTTTTTGTAACTCGCTGGCCAGCTTCAGGTTGTTAATCAGCCTCCATAGCCTTGCCAGTTGGAGTAGGATCTTGCTTGTGTTGTTCCTGACCTTGTTGCAAGAACCTGCACCTACTTGGGGGGATTTAAGGCCTGGATAGTAAGGTTGGATACTAAACAAGCTTAGGCAATGGTTCAAAAGTTTTTGGACTGGAGATGACTGAATTCTTTGGAGGTTTGACCGCTTGGTTGACCTAGCTTTATTCTGTAGTAAGTCTTTTGTTGATGTAGTCACAAATAGCATACGACATTGGTTACTGAAAGAGAAACATAGATTGGAAGAGAGGTGATGTTGAGGTTAATTGTTGCTGAGATTTGGTTTCGTTGCGTCTGATCGTTTTTTTCTTGAACCATTCTTTGAATCAGAAGCGATGGTCCTGGAGGTTTCTTAAGGCCACTACTGGGTCTGGGGATGCTGAAAGGAAGATGGTATCTTGAATACTGTATTGGTATTGATAGTCTGCAGTGTATACTGGATAGAGAATGGAACCAAAAATGTTGCCCTGTTGAACATCCACTTTGGCAAAGTTGGTGGGAGAAGGACACCCCATTCCTACTTGTTTGTACCAATAGGATTCTAAAATGAAATAATAAATGGATTGATGTCCTTGAGTTTCCAAAGTGAGTTCAAATGTTACAATCAAAAAATGCCTGTCAATTTTCACAGCATTCTTGCGAGTATACAATATTTACCACCTTGTGGCACTGTTCGATGGTTGAATATTGCCTGAATTAATGGGATGATAGGTGTTTCAATACATGGATAAAATCTGAAGTAATTGATTTTTAATTTGGAAAAGGAAAACACGTTCAGTACAGTCTGCTTATTCAATTTTCTTGCTCGTGCATGGAAAAATTCCCTTTTCCTAAAAATGTTACACATCAAGACCCGCATGCAGGTTGGGCTAGTTCAGCACTGAATGTGTTAAATGCCTAAGTCACTCACTTGCTATGCAATAATTAACTTTTGTATTATATCCGGCCCGGAGGACCAAAATGTTGTTGAGACAATCAAGAGGAAAGCATGGGTGTATAAAAATATTATAAATAGATAAAATTAAATGTATTCAAGTTTGAGTAGTGAAGTCAAGAAAAAGAAAATTAATATTAGTTTTGGTAAAATTAAACTAAAAGTTTGGTTTTTTGAGAGGTCATTGTCTTAGAGGGGATGAAAATTTTTTCAATAATAGGACAAATGTTTTAAAAATGAATCATTGGTGTAAAAAATGCTTTCATCGTCAACAAGAAGGATTTTTCAATAAGAATTTTATTTTGGTAAACGTCCAATCAGAAAATGATATAGCTTTAGACTTAAAGAAAGCTAACAAACTGTCTCCAAGGCTTGAAAGAAAAAACTAGTCGAGGAGTCATCATCAGGTTGAAGGAGTTACAAACTCATCTCTTGACACTGTGTTGGTGGTGGATCAGCGATTCATGTTGAGAGACGTGTTTGTAACTGCTTCAACCTGATGATGAACTACAATTAATTAAGGTTTTTAGTTGAGATAAAAAAGTCAATGGCACGAGCGGGATTCGAACCCACGATCTTCGGCTTGATACGCCGTTGCTCTACCACTTGAGCTATCGTGACCTCAATCCACTCGGACACTAACTTCCCATCTCAACCCCACCTTTTTGAATTTTCCCTCCTTTTTGCCATTTTGAATCCCGCTCGTGCCATTGACTTTTTTATCTCAACTAAAAAACTTAATTAATTGTAATATATTAATTGGTCAAGCGGACCACGAAATTAGTGAATTTACTGATGATGAACATTTAATGCTTGAAGTCGAGATAGTTGTCACAAATCTGTGAATAGAACCATCATGTACAAAAAGTGAAACTAGTATAGTTCTGAAAACAAATCAAAGAGGATGACAAAAAAGCGAGAGTTGATAGTGGGTCGGTGAACACATGTTGAATCGGCAGTTCATAAACTGGATCTGGCTATAATCACCGATGCTACTCAAATTTGTTTCAGCTTTGTGTTTCATCAGAAGTTGGAGGAGCCAGAGTTATACTTTATATAAAAAAAACCTAGATTTTTTTTAACGAGAGTACACAACAGCAGAGGTCATATCAACCCACAGTTTGCTGCTGTTTTTGAAAAATTTGAAAAAAGCCTTTTGTAAGTTTGTTGGGTTTGATTCAAAATCAGGACCTTTACGTTATAATGATGAGCACCGCCTATTTTTTTATGCCTAAACCGTTGCAGCCACCGACGCCCCCAACTACCTAGATATCACCTTTTTAAATTTTTCCATCCATTCCCAATAATTGAAAGTTTTTATACGGTTCACCCGGTTTCGTTTGAGAACCTAGAGTTATACTTTATATTTAAAAAAAACCTATATTTTTTTTAATGAGAGTTCAAAACAGCAGAGGTCTGCTGGTGTTTTTGAAAAAAATCCCTTTGTAAGTTTCTTACTATCTTATTCTTGCGGGTGTGCAATATTTACCATCTTGTGGCACTGTTCGATGGTACAATATTCCCTTTTGAGTTCTAAAAATAGAAACAATTTATTTTTGAACATATTTTTAACATGCTTTATGTAATAAAAACAAAAGTAGTAAATGCCATATTTGACATAAAGCATATAGTAAAAATGTAGTGGCTATTTTTCATAGTAATTAAGAATAAAAGAGACCTATTATTGCTTATTTCTTTCAATGAGAGATTAATAATAAAATGCTGTGTTTGATACAAATTAAAAATATATAGACTTTTTTTAATAATTGAGAAATAAATAATACAGAATGTCTCTACCTGGTGACCACAAGTCTTGCTTTTTCAGTTGCTGGCTCCTTTGTAACTCTATTAGATACCAACTCGATACCAATAAATAAACCATGGCCTCTCACATCTCCAATTATAGAGTGTTTTTCTTTGAGTTTTGTCAAACCAGCAAGCACGTATTTGCCAACTTCGTAAGCATTTCGCATTAAATTGTCTCTCTCGACGACTTCCATGACAGCAAGAGATGCTGCACAAGAGACAGGATTTCCTCCAAACTATAACATACCTATTTTAATAAAATTCTCAAAATGTTTAAATTTGTAAACGTACTGTGTTGAAATATTCTATGTCGATTTTTTTAGCTATTTCATCTGTTGTGATAACAGCAGCGACAGGATGCCCATTGCCCATAGATTTGCCTATTAAATATTGTTTTTAACTGAAGCAGTATAGGAAAAATGAAATCTATGAAGTAATAAATATTAGAAACCATTTAATAAATGATCATACCAACTGTGACAATATCAGGTACAACCCCTTGCGCCTGAAATGCCCAATAATTTGTGCCGACTCTTCCGAATCCGACTTGGACTTCATCAGCTATGCAAACCCCACCGGCAGCATGTACTTGTCTAATATTTCGTACATTGTGAGATTTAATGATTGAGTTTTAAAAGAATCACCTACTTGTACACGTTTTTCAGGTAGTTGGGCGGAAGGATGATCTGTCCAGCGCAACTGGGTGCCGACTCAGCAATAAATGCCGCAATCTTCCTGCCAGAATTTTCGGCGTTTTTAATTATGTCAGCTACATCCTGGGCATATTTTCCACCCATTGTTTCAATACTTTCGTTACAATATTTTCCCCTGTAAGCATCAGGAATCGGCGCCTAAAAATAATAGATTTGTTAGCATTAATTAATATGAACAGAATTAAAAAAAAAACATACCACATGGACCCATTCTTTTTTTGGGAATTGCCCTGCTTTAAATTTATACGGAGAAATATCAATCAATGAGCTTAAATGTCCATGATATGCACTAAAAAAAAATTAAACATTGAAATTAAAATAAATTTTACCTTTATTATCCCTGATAATTCAAACACATTTATGGATTTTTTCCTTATTCTGTAAATCTGCTGTGATAAGTGAAACGTCAAAAAAATATTTAGAATCTCTGGAATAATCAAGCTCCAGACAATCATTACAAAACAATCAACTTGCAATTAACACTGAATTTTAATCAATTAAAAAAACCACTGCCTATAATTAATTAACAAATTGTTAATTTACTAACTATTCTAAGCATATGATATCCTGTTGTTTTGTGTATGCCCGGGCTATACGTAGGGCCAGATCATTTGCTTCAGATCCAGAATTTGTGAAAAAGCAAACTGACAAATGCTCGGGGAAAGTGTTCGATAGCCTCTCAGCGCAGAGTACAAGATTGTCATGCAGAAATCTGTTGTTAGTGTTCAAAATTGACATTTGCTCTGCCGATTTCCTGACTACTGTGTCATCGCAATGTCCAACTAAAACAAAAAAAAAAAAAAAATACAAATTCATTCGGATAAGAATTTATATGTATCGATAAATTGTTCTGACGATAACAAATCTTTGATTATTTTTGTTTTAATTATAGTGTGTTTATTGCTATTAGATTACAAACAAGTCATATTGAAATATCGTTCGTTGAAAGAGCTTACCATGAGCCACGTTATTCAGACAATCCAAATATTTCTCCCCTTTCTCATCATACATGAACTGCCCCTTGCCTCTCGTAATTTTAAGAGGGTTCGCACGGAAAAAGAGTTCACATGATTCCCTGGAAAAAAAAAAATGAAAATGGTATTTCGTTCACTATTCCATATATTTTTACAGCCATTGGAACATCAGTTGAAAAATAATCAACACTCATTTCTTTGTTAAATAAAAGAAATATTGGCCACAGGTCGTAAAGAAAAGGTCTAATATTTAACTTGCAAAATCATATTTTTTCACAATAAAATTTCATATTATTTTATACCTTTGCATGTGCAACATCATAAAAATCCATTTTATTTTTATAAAAGTTGTTAATTTTTTTTAATATGAAAAACGTGATTTTCGTGATTGTTTGAACAAAAATAATGCCTATTGTTTGTCAATCTAGGCCAGAACAGTTTATCTAATTATCTTCCTATCTGAAAGAAAGAAATAACAAGGGGAATTTCATATTTGGTTATGATATATATTTTGAGTATTCAGCATACGAAATTTCACCTGAATTATTGTAAACATTTTTTTAAATTAAATTCACTAATTTCGTGGTCCGCTTGACCAATTAAATCATTACAATTAATTAAGGTTTTTAGTTGAGATGAAAAAAAGTTAATGGCACGAGAGGGATTCGAACCCACGACCTTCGGCTAGATACGCCGCTGCTCTACCACCTGAGGTCATCGAGGTCACGATAGCTCAGGTGGTAGAGCAGCAGCATATCTAGCCGAAGGTCATGGGTTCGAATCCCTCTCGTGCCATTAACTTTTTTTCATCTCAACTACAAACCTTAATTAATTGTAATTTTTTTTAATGCTTGACAGGCTGTCTCAAATTATAAGCAGTTTGAATTGTAAGAATAAATTGGAAAAAAAAAAAAAGAAAACTACGAGATATTTCAAAAAGCAACATATTTTTAATAAAAAAAAAAAAAATTACAAAATTATGAATGTCATAATTTTTGTACAGTTGACACAAAATGTTAAGATATTAAAGCTACTTAAAAATAATATAAAAGCTCCAAAATTATAAAAATTGGGTAAAAACAATTTTTACTTTTATCATCTTATTAAAAGTTATGTCTATATAAACTATGCTCCCAAACAAATTATTATCTAATATGTAACGGTATAAAACCATAAAAATATATTTATCATGAAAACAGTTCTATTTCATTTCTTGCCCTGAGATAAGATTAGGCATGAGTTTTATTACAATAAATTATAAATCAAATTTATGCAATACAAAACATGTTTTATTTTTAATTTTTCATTCTTTATTCTTTTTTTTCTTACTACCATACATTAATCTTAATATTCCTTTTAATATAGCCTGTTTTTTTATAAAAAAATTAATATTTATTATTATTTAAAATAATCCGGTCAGTTATTTATTACTAAATAAATATATGGATTATTCACTACGACTCACCCAATATGTCTTTTCCGTAATTTTATTGTATCACTTTTTGGCATTTGTTCCAGGGCTTCCATTGTTTACGGTTGAGAATCAAAACGATGCTAACCTGTTTATAAATAATATTGGAAACGATTGGTACTCATAAAAATTTTTTCCTCTCCTTATATAAAGAATATAAGAGAAGAGTGGGAGATGCGAGATTATTTTCTGAATAGTAATCAAGATAAGAGGAGATAAAAGTGAACTGAAGTTTAAAAAAAAAATCTATTCTTTTGTTGAAAGTAGAATAATATAAAGCTAGATAATAAGGAGCCACGTAATTAATTATAAGTTCTCTATAAGTTATCTATTTTCTGGTGATAAAATTCCCTTTAAAAGATCTATTAATTTTTTTTTTTTTAACGTTCAAACAATGTTGTCTAATTTATAGGCAATGCTATTTTTATGAGGGCTGTAAACATGTCCAAACAGTTGTATAATTTCATTTAGGTGTTATATCCAGTTGAATTGAGATAGTTATTTTTCCTATGTTCGTAATACTGTCATTTCATGTATCAATGATAGAAATTATGTAGGCTCAGAATTACCATTTATTTTATGCAGAATTTTTCCATCAAATTAAAAGTTTAAGGGATAATTATCTTTAACAAACGGACCAGATTTCCATAATGATTCTGCCAATCTCATATAAATTTTATTTATTTTATAAGACAATAAAAATATATTATTTTATTGTAAAATAGATACTATGAACCTTTTTTTTAATGCTTATTGGGGGGATAAAGTATTGTGAAAAAAAAGGCCTGAGACGATGGTGGGAATTGAACCCATGACTGCAGGGTATATGAACTTTTGAGTTTTGAACACGACAATTTTAAATGTCTGAATAAAAAAAAAGTGCATAAAAACAGACAGAATCTTCAATTGTCGGTCACCTTATCTTTGTTTATATTTTTAAATATTAACTGTAAATATTGTTACAAGCTACTCAAGTGTGTTTCATTTGACCCATAAAGTAATTGTTTAATAAATTAATTAGTTTTATCAAATAATTGCTAACCACTGCAGTTTTATTTAAAATATGTACATTTGCAAAGTAATTTTTTTTTTTTTGTAATTGTTGACAGTTATTTTCTACTTAAATATACAACTTTATTTGCATAATATTATCAATGTGGAAACGTCGATAGGCAAGATCAGCTCTCACGTATTAAGAGCATTGTCAATAGACGGACTGTAGAGGACCTGACTCATAGAAGACGAGCCATCCTCACCCGATCAAAAATAACCTAGTGAGGTTGACATACAGACACTTAATTTTGGGCCAAAGCCTGCGTCGGTGTCCAGTATGTATAGAAAGGTTGCTTTGTGTTGAAGGGCATTCCTTGGCTCCACAAAGAGAGCATGTAGGAATGCCACTTGATATACTGTTCTTGAATCCAGCAGTGCGTTTCTAGGTCTCTTGTTATGATTTTTGGATGAAACAGGGCTGTTCTACTGTATATAATACATCCAAGTGCCATTGGAAAATGGCAAAAGGAGGGAAAACTCATAAGGTGGGGTTGAGATGAGTTGATGTCCGAGTGGATCGAGGTCACGATAGCTCAGGTGGTAGAGCAGCGGCGTATCTAGCCGAAGGTCGTGGGTTCGAATCCCTCTCGTGCCATTAACTTTTTTTCGTCTCAACTATAAACCTTAATTAACTGTCATGTATATAATACTTTACAGATATCTTGTCATATCTTTCTTTATATATGTTGAGACTGAATGTATTTATTAGCACGAATGTGGAGTTGAATATTGAGTACCCCATTCACCATCATTTAGATTAGTTGTATAATAATTGTAGTACAAAGTAGGTAAATAGTGAAAATTGAATTTAAGAGAGAATGAAAGTGTGAATGGTTTTGGATGTTGAAACTGATTGAAACTTATTTAGTGTTACACCTTGTCTTTCTTTCTTATACGTACCACACTCAATCCCACAGCTCCCTTCATTGTCCCTAACCTGTGCAATGTTTTTTTTTTTTTTTTTTTTTTTTTTTGTGTGTGTAAGGCCTAACTTGTGCTCCATAAATGGGGCTGGGTTTTGTACAAGCTTTTTCATTGGAACTTGTTTGCAAGCTCCATACTTCTTCCATAAATGGGCTTTATTTCTTCACATTTTGGTCTTTATTTGATACTAAACAGATTCAAGTCACCTTCTGCTGGTCCGTAGAACATGTGGGTGTAGAAGGCAAAAGTAAAGCAGACAATGTTGCAAGAAAAGAAGCACTGATAGGACCTGAGTCCTTTGTGGCATAGGATTCCACATTTTCAATGAGTAACTTAGACAAAAGTACAAAAATAAAAAAGGTAACAATGGAACTCACTCATTGGACGCAAACAGTTCAAGAAGTTTGTAGTAAACTTTGGAAGAAAAAAGGTAACGTAATGCATTAAAGGAAGTGGGAAAAAACTGTGAATCCTAACAGGATTCTTAACAGGACACTGCAAACTAAATGAGCATCTGAAGGAGAATGGCATAACCTTACTGCAGGTGCAGATTTTGTAATGAAGGGCAGTAAACACCAATACACCTACAAACTGTGGTGCTACACTTGCCCACAGGAGGAAGTGTTTTGGGACTTACAATGTAATCATAGAAGAGATTCAATCACTGAAACCAAGCATACTAATCAAATTCCTTGATGAACTCACTGGTGTGCTATAAGCACAGAATGAGGGATACAACAGCTCTCAAAGGGAGCAGTATAATGTATATATACCTTAACTGATACATCTGAATCTACCCCAAGTGAAATACATCGAGATTCAAGAGAAATTAAACCTAGTTTCTGCAGCAGGATGACAGTGGGAATAGGATGTACCCAATTTACTGCAGCCGATCCATGTAATGAATTTGTGATGAATTTATTCTAATAATTTAATATAGGTATTGTAGGATGGAGACCAGTCTAAGGAGCAGTATTCTCATAGGGAATGGACGAGGGAAGTGTATAGGAAGGATTAAAATCATAGTAAGGGAACTATAGGGTAGATTTAAGTCTATTAAAAGATATTGCATTTGTTATGTTGAGGGTCATATAGTTGTTGATGCACAACTTTTCAATGTTAGTTTGCACTATAAATAAACAGTCAGATTCAGAAGGAATTCTATGGAATATTTTGAGGTTGTCTGCTAATAACACAAAATGAGTGTCATTATGAGCACATGCAATATCGTTAATGAAGATACTAAATTATAAGGGACCTAAGTTTGATCCTTGGATGTATTGTATAAATGTCGTGACATTTGGGCTAAGTATATAAATGACCTGACTATTAGGCTAAGTATATCAACGACCTGACTTTTGGGCTAAATATATAAATAACCTGATTTTTTTGGCTAAGTATATAAATGACCTGACTTTTGGACTAAATATATAAATGACCTGACTTTTGGGCTAAATCAGAAGTCCAGTGATTAGTTAAATCAAATCCAGCCTAGAAGTTTTCTACCTTTTGAGAAAGTGTGTGTCATTAAGAGCACATGCAATATCGGTAATGAAGATATTAAATTGTAAGGGACCTAACTGTCATCCCTGGATGTATTGTATAAATGACTTGACTTTTGTGCTAAGTATATAAATGACCTGACTTTTCGGCTAAATATATATAACCTGATTTTTTGGCTAAGTATATAAATGACCTGATTTTTGGGATAGATATATAAATAACCAGATTTTTTTGCTAAGTATATAAATGGCCTGATTTTTGGGCTAAATATATAAATGACCTGATTTTTGGGATAAATATATATAACCTGATTTTTTGGCTAAGTATATAAATGACCTGATATTTGGGATAAATATATAATTCACCAGATTTTTTTGCTAAGTATATAAATGGCCTGATTTTTGGGCTAAATATATAAATGACCTGATTTTTGGGCTAACTATATAAATGACCTGGCTTTTGGGCTAAATACATAAATGACCTGACTTTTGGGCTAAATATGTAAATAACCTGATTTTTTTGCTAGGTATATAAATGACCTGACTATTAGGCTAAGTATATCAATGACCTGACTTTTGGGCTAAATATATAAATGACCTGACTTTTGGTCTAAATATATAAATGACCTGACTATTGGGCTAAATATATAAATGACCTGATTTTTGGGCTAAATATGTAAATAACCTGATTTTTTTACTAAGTATATAAATGACCTGATTTTTGGGCTAAATATATAAATGACCTGATTTTTGGGCTAAATATATAAATGACCTCACTTTTGGGCTAAATATATAAATTACTTAACTTTTGGGCTAAATATATAAATGACCTGACTATTGGGCTAAAGATATAAATAACCTGATTTTTTGCTAAATATATAAATGACCTGATTTTTGGGATAAATATATAAATGACCTGACTTTTGCGCTAAATACATAAATGACCTGACTTTTGGGCTACATACATAAATGACCTGACTTTTGGGCTAAATATATAAATGACCTGACGTTTGGGCTAAGTACATAAATCACCTGACTATTGGGATAATCACCTGACTATTGGGATAAGACAGAAGTCCTGTGATTAGTTAAGCCACACCCAGCCTAGATAAAGTTTTACCTTTTAAATGATATTTAATAGTTAAATATTAATAATAAATTATGAAATAAAAAGTCCGTTGGAATATCAAAAAGCCCGCTATTGCATTCCAGCCGTCAGATCGTGTGCATGCTGCATGCACTCTGCTTTACTGTGCTCTGTGTCTAGTGAGAGAAGCACAATTTTTGGGTGGAATATTGTTTATATTTTCTTTTTTAAATGAACGTTTCATGTTAGTTTAATGTTCTATGCTTCCGGTCTTTGTTTCGAACGTTTTACAACACTTTTCAAAGCGCAGTACCAGCTAATAAGCTAGATGTCACAGCATAAAATACAACATATTTTAATATGCGTTTTATATAGTATCGCCTAAAATATATCCGACAAGGTTGGTATTTTTATTTATTTATATTTTTAAAATAATGTATATCTATAGATATTTACACTAAATTACTTTTATAGAAAAATGTTATTATAAAATATAAAAATGCTTGGTATACAGTGTAATTAGTTTCACAATGAGCCTTGATAGAAGAAAGTCCAAAGTTAAAATAGATAAATGTTATTAACTTTCACACAAACACAACCAATTTTCTATATCATAAACAAACCAACAGACTAGAAGGAACTAAATTCAATATTAAAACATGATAAGGATAAATGAAGCGGCCACAAGGACTTCGGCACCTCGCCCCAAGTAGATCTATTGCACTCCTGTAATTTTTATAAATCAGCTTCAGGTTTGTAGTCAAATAGCTCCCAAATAGTCCCACAGCCTTTCCGTCAGCTCCATAGTGTAAATCTTGCTTGATTCCTATCCTAATCGCAAGAATCTCCACCTATACAAAAACATATAATGTGTTCTGCGGTCTCCTCTTCTTCCTGGAGTTGTCTGCAGTGTTTCTTCTGTCAGTACTAATGGAGGACTACACGAGTCCGACAAGGATCCTGGTTGTGTTTTTTTCTGGTTTTTTACCAGTAAATCTTTTGTAAATTTGTGGATGGCCCTTTTTTAAATCTCCATGTACCTCATGTCTGAGTTGTTCCAGTATATTTTTGATTAAGGATCCATTTTTGTGTGTGCTTTTTTGTGGCAAGGTGCTAGGGTTCAGGACCTAGGAAATTCATATTGACTCCTTTTTTGGCCATGTCCAGTTTCTCATTTCCTGTATGTCCTGAACGCCCAGGAACCATGCCAGGGTCAGGTCATCGGTGACTGCTGCCATGGATTCCATACAATTACATAAACTTTGTCTTTACCGCACATGAGGCTGTCTTCTTAAGTGCTGCCTGATGTCAGAGAAAATGGCGTTTTTTTTTTTTTAATTTTGCCTTTGTAACTACATCCAGCCACGTCTTCAGATTGGATAGTCCAACCCCCAATGGAGCCGAGCGGCCACCAGAGCCGACAGGAGGGCACCAAGAAAATGGCTAGTAATATTTTCCTAGTACATATTTTTATTTCTCTGCTGCAGTGTTCAATTGTTATGATTTCACATTAAAAAAAAAAAACCTAAGTGTAAAGTATTAGGATTCATCCTGAAGCTCCTGTGTTTCTACCCGATTTTGAGCCGTTATTATGCCAGTAGGAATTGGCAGACATTTCACGTAGTTTATTGCTTAATTTTTGACCAAGTGTTTGTTGGCCGGTTTAACTATTTTTTTTTTTTTTTTACCTTAAAACTCAATAAATTAACTGTAAACTACATTCATATTCAATTAATTATTTTTTTAATGTAAGGTCTTAGTTGAGATAAAAAGTCAGTGTCAGCGGGATTCGAACCCACGACCTTCGGTTAAATATGCTGCTCTACCACTTGAGCTATCGTGACTTCGATCCACTCGGACACTAACTTCCCATCTCAACCTCACCTTTTGAATTTTCCCCCCTTTTTGCCATTTTTCAAATGTGTAATCTATTTGATTCTCAGCGACAAATGAAATGACCATGGAGAGCTTTAGTGAAGATATACTTCATTTTAACTTATTAAATTCACTAGGTTTCGTGGTCCGCTTGACCAATTAATATCTTTCAATTAATTAAGGTTTTTAGTTGAGATGAAAAAGTCAATGTCATGAGCAGGATTCGAACCCACGACCTTCAACTTGATACGCCGCTACCACTTGAGCTATTGTGACTTTGATCCACTCAGACAACAACTCTCCATCTCAACTTATAACCATTTAAATTTTCCCTCCTTTTTGCCATTTTCATATGTTCATATTATTAGAATAATTCTAATTACAAAACAATTTCAACCGGTCTGATGATGAGCCAACCAACTAAAATATAGTAAAAGAAAGACATTGTTAAACTGGATCCTCAACTTTTCAACATCAAGGGCATGATTATTAGATGTTTTCTTGATTTAGCGATGATTGTCTACCTGACTCAGAATGTTTTATTAATTTGAAAAAGACGGTTCTCACAGATTGGTTTTGCAGAGATCCATATTTCGAGTATTAGTCTGATGATGAGCATGATTAGAACCATCCTTTTCAACTATTGACTCCTGCCATCAGCGTCCAACTTGTATTTCCATGGTATCTGGTTCTGGGTACGAATCCCGACGAAATGGTTGTAATGTGGTTTGACCCATTGTCTATGGCGCCCAATGGGCTTGACATTAGCTCCATCATGATCATTTTTTCTAAGCATATTTATGACAGACTACTTTTGGGTCCATGACCATATACCTGTCAGAAAGCAGACAATTTTTTTTAGTTTCTATATAAAGAGGAAGTAGGCACTAGATCAATTTTTTTTCTAATGTTATTGAATCCTGTTAATTTATTTTTTGCAAAAACTTCCATTGTTTTGTATCGTGCTGCTTGTTTCAACTTTTTTCTGCTAGTAAATTTTATTTATTATCATTACCTTGTAGTAAAATATTAAATCCTGTGTTTAATTGTGCTACTGTTGTTAATGCAAATTAATTTAAATTTTGCAAGATTTAAAGCGACCAAAGAAAAGTAGAGACTTATTGGTTTTGTGATGGGCTCGATACTCAGCATGGTCATTAGAATTTCTGATCCTTCCCAGGAAGACTAAAACATTTCTAGGATATTAAATTCACTAATTTCCTGGTCCGCTTGACCAATTAATATATTACAATTAATTAAGGTTTTTAGTTGAGATAAAAAAGTCAATGGCACGAGTGGGATTCGAACCCACGATCTTCAACTAGATACGTCGCTGCTCTACCACTTGAGCTATCGCGACCTTGACCCACTCGGACACTAACTTCCCATCTCAACCCCACCTTTTGAATTTTCCCTCCTTTTTGCCATTTTTCAAATGTCGTGTAATCGGATTTGATTCTCGGCTATAAATGAAATGGCCACGGAGAGCTTTAGTGAAGTATACTTCATTTTTAATTCATTAAATGCACTAATTTCCTGGTCCACTTGACCAATTAATATATTACAATTAATTAAGGTTTTTAGTTGCTCTCCGTGGCCATTTCATTTGTCGCCGAGAATCAAATCCGATTACACGACATTTGAAAAATGGCAAAAAGGAGGGAAAATTCAAAAAGTGGAGTTGAGTTGGGAAGTTAGTGTCCGAGTGGATCGAGGTAACGATAGCTCAAGTGGTAGAGCAGCGGCGTATCTAGCCAAAGATCGTGGGTTTGAATCCCGCTCGTGCCATTGACTTTTTTATCTCAACTAAAAACCTTAATTAATTGTAATTTCTAGGATATTTTATTACTGTTGTTTCATTCAAATCTAAGAAAAATTATGTTCTATACATAAAAAAAGTAAATTTTTGAAATCTTTTTGCTAATGGTAATGTAGATTGTGTTCTTTAAAAAAAAAAAAAAAAACCTTTTGTCTTGTTTCAGATGGGTTATGCGTATTGTGATAATAAGTTATTAAAGTATGACGAGGCGTGTTTGACAGTGAATAATTTTCAAACGAACATTATTAAGTTATCTAACGTCAGTTTGGAATGTTACGAGGTCTGTAAAAACAATTTTTCACCTGTATTCGATTTGCTTAAGCGCATAATTAATCTTTATTTTTATTTAATTTCAGTGTTTGCCGCAGCTTTTCCAGCACATCGTTCCCACCTCGTCCAAATCTATTATTTATTCGACAAGACATCCAACCGTTTTTAGTTTAATAGGCAAAAATATAAATTTCAAGTTAGCATAAGTAGATTATTTGAGATTTTCATTTTATTTTATTTAATCTTTTTTTTACAGTACAATTTTCACGTTTGAACAGCATGGCCATTACGGGCTCAATGTTTCGAAAAATGTTGACTACTATGTGATAACTCCTCCTCCTGAAAATGTTTATAAACGTAAACAATTTGAATATGCAAGATATTTTTTTTTTATATGTAGTTTTAATATATTTTATTTTTTGTAGCGCTGTGGAGTGCTGGTATTTTACTACTCGTCATATTTTTATTATACGTGATAGGCGCTTGTAAATCGTTTTATTCTCGCCTTTACTCCATGATAGTCCGGCCGAGCGTTATTATAAGAGATGCTGAAAATGTAATTATTGCAATTTGTAAGAATGATTTTTTTTTCTGTCCCGTAAAAAAAAATCATGAATTTGTTTCTCAGGACTTGGGAGTTTCAAGAATGTTCGACTCAACCCCGCTTATTAGCACGTCTTCAATTCCGGAAAGTAGTAACAGACGAAACGCTTCCGTGGATACGTTCAGAGGGTAAAACATAAAAATAAAGTTAGCTAGAATTCATACTTGAACACCTGGGCCGCTGAATATGGGCTTGAATGTAGCCAAAGTCCCAGGCTATTTTTATATCCAGTTCTTTCCTCCAATCTAAATCTTCTATCATTTACGATTAACAATTTTCATTTTTTTTGCTTCTGTCCCACCATCAAGAACCTTAGGATTATCCTTGATCAAGCCTCATCCCAAATTTCCTGCCGCTGCTTCTCGCACTGCTGAAAATGAGTTTAACTTGAATGTAAAAAAATTCCACATTTTATAGTCAATTATAAATTTTTCTTTTTCATAGTAGAGTATTTCCATTTTGTATGTATTTTTGTAGACAGATCTAATCTTATCAGGCTAGAATCTTTGTAAATTCATTGTATTGACAATTAATTATTCAAGTCCAATTTTTTTTTTTTAATTCATTCATAAATTTTGAATTGTAATTTTATTTTTTAGCATTACTATAGTCCTGATGCTTTTTGTCAATTATGGTGGAGGCAAATATTGGATATTTCAACATGCTGAATGGAATGGGATGACTATTGCCGATTTAATTTTCCCATGGTAAAAACTTAAACTGGTTGTAATTATTTTTATAATTTATTTAAAATAATATTTCCCTCTAAGGTTCGCCTGGATCATGGGCGTTAGCATCGTTTTGTCTATATCCAGTCAACTGAGACGGACGGTGCCCCGATCGGCAATCTTTAGCAAAGTTCTTCTCAGAAGCTTATTGCTAATTGTTATCGGGCTTGCACTGAATTCTTTCAATAATAACAACGTGAACAAATTGCGATTTCCGGGCGTTTTACAGAGACTTGGACTGTCTTATTTTATAGTTGCTTCTCTTGAGACGATGTTTTTACAAGCGCAGAATTACAATGTGAGTTTATTTTCAATATTTTTCTTTCAATTAAAAAAAAAATTACTTAGAGCGTTTAATTTTAGTTGACAAGTCGATTGAGTCATATCAACGATATAATAAATGGCTGGGTACAATGGGTCTTCATCATGACGCTTGTCGGTATTCACAGCTACATTACATTTAACGTTGAAGTGCCTAATTGCCCCAAGGGTTACCTTGGACCGGGAGGACTTCACGATAACAAAATCGCTATGAACTGTACTGGTGGAGTAGCAGGATATATCGATAGGATGCTTTTTGGGACACAGCACTTATATCAACATCCGACTCTTGCGAAAGTTTATTTTACCCATCAGCCCTTTGATCCAGAAGGCAAGTTTCATTGTATATAATTTTATTTTATCGTATAGAATATGTGTTGAATATTTCACAGATTTTAAGGTAAAATTTGGCAGCATAATAAACATAGCTTTTTACAGGACTTTTAGGAACTTTAAACATGGCATTTACTGTATTCCTTGGAACAATTGCTGGTAAAATTTTATTATATTTTGGCAACCAAATAACAGGACCTCCAGTAAGGTGGATGGCATTATCAGCATTGTGTGTAAGTTTAAAAAAAAAAAAAACGCTATTTTTTGTGGTCTGCTTGACCAATTAATATCATTCAATTAATTAAGGTCAGTGTCACGAGTGGGATTTGAACCCACGAGCTTCGGCTAGATTCACCACTACTCTACCACTCGGACACTAACTTCCCATCTCAACCCCACTTTTTGAATTTAACATCCTTTTTGCCATTTTTCAAATGTGTAATCTATTTGATTCTCGGCGACAAGTGAAATGGCCATTGAGAGCTTTAGTGAAGGTATACTTCATTTTAACACTAGTTTTCGTGGTCCGCTTGACCAATTAATATATTACAATTAATTAAGGTTTTAAGTTGAGATAAAAAAAGTCAGTGTCACGAGCGGGATTCGAACCCACGACCTTTGGCTAGATACGCCGCTGCTGTACCACATGAGCTGTCGTGACCTCGATCCACTCGGACACTAACTTCCCATCTCAACCCCACCTTTTGAATTTTCCCTCCTTTTTGCCATTTTTCAAATGTCGTGTAATCTATTTGATTCTATTGACAAGTGAAATGGCCATGGAGAGCTTTAGTGAAGTACTTTATTTTAATTAATTGAATTCACTATTTTTCATGGTCTGCATGACCAATTAATATCATTCACTTAATTAAGGTTTTAAGTTGAGATAAAAAGGTCGTGGGTTTGAATCCCGCTCATGACACTGACTTTTTTATCTCAACTTAAAACCTTAATTAATTGGAAAAAAAATTAATTTTTAATTTATTTTTCTCATTCCAAAGGGTTCTTTTGCACTGATACTTTCAAATGCTTCGAAGGAAGGCGGTGTCATTCCAATTAATAAAAACCTATGGTCTCTTTCTTTTGTATTCGCCACGTCCTGCCTTGCGTTCTTCACTCTCTGTATTCTTTACATGATAGTCGATTATTTTAAAAATTGGAACGGCTCGCCATTTATTCAAGCGGGTAAGTGTTCGTCGTGTTTTTGTAAATTGGATAAGTACAATGAGTTGTTTCAGGGAAGAACTCTATTCTTTTGTACATCGGGTCCGAAGTGACGAAAAGAAGCATACCGTGGAACTGGACCCCAATTTCAATGTTGGATCACTCGGCAATTTTATACATGAATATTTGGTCGACGGCATTATGGATTCTTATCGCTATTTTTCTCAACAACAATAACATTTACTTAACTATATAAATGTTATTTAGTGTCACAGGTTGTTCATTTCGTACATATATGAAATGTTATACTATTGAACTGTACTATTTTTGATTTAATTATTTATATATAAATAATACTTTTTTTTTAAAATTGTAGTATGAAGAGAAATAGTTATGTTAAATACAATTAATTATTACAATCATACAAAAACTTGTAAATGATGACTTTATTTTTTTGAACTTTCCCATTAATGTTAAGGTGCGTCTGCAGTCACAACCTTTTAGGCATTGTCATGGCGCTCATCACTGTAAGGTAAAGGTCCCGGGTTCGAATCCAGTGGCCCTGCATTCGAACCCAATATTTACAAATGGGCTTTTTTTTAAACACAACCCCTGATATGATCTCTGCATTTGCGAATCCTTGTTTAAAAAATAATAATAATAATAAGTGTGTAGAGATTAGTGACCGTTAATCGATAGTTATTCAGACATCATGGGTTGTGGACCGCATCTCACGATATCTGAATAATAATAAGGTTAAATGTATATTGCTTTCATATTAAGCAGCATAAAGATGAAATTGGGAGACATTAAGAACTATTTGAAAATCACTTAGAAACATGGAAAAGAGTAAAGGTCCGATAATAAAGCCTTGAGGTACACCAGCTCTAAATGAGAGAGAAGAGGAGATAGAATTTGAAGCTTTAACTATCTGTGTTCTGTTGGACAGATAGGAGGAAATGAGATTTGAAGCAGTAGATTGCAAAAGCATACAAATCTGGGCTCTAGTTATAATAATAATTAAATTCACTAATTTCGTGGTCCGCTTGACCAATTAATATATTACAATTAATTAAGGTTTTTAGTTGAGATAAAAAAAGTCAATGGCACGAGCGGGATTTGAACCCACGATCTTCGGCTTGATACGCCGCTGCTCTACCACTTGAGCTATCGTGACCTCGATCCACTCGGACACCAACTTCCTATCTCAACTGCGGCGTATCAAGACGAAGATCGTGGGTTCGAATCTCGCTCGTGCCATTGACTTTTTTATCTCAACTAAAAACCTTAATTAATTGTAATATAATATTAATGTTTTAAATCTGGTTTTTCACTGTTCCAACTGCTATGCAGTTTTACTTTCTTGTGTTTTTATTTTTTTATCTTGTTATTTCACCCCGAGGGTTTCACTTTTTTCTGAAAAAAAAGAAAAAATATAAAAACAGTGTGGCGCCCGACCGATTATTTTACTTTTGGAGACGAAGCGGCCACAGGGAAAAAAAATCTCCATTGAGCTCTAGGTACCCGGCAACCGGCTGAATTGCCAACGATCCGGCGAGGAACCGGTAACAAGTTTTCAGTGTTCCAACCATTATATATATTTTGACAAAAAAAATTTTTTTTTGAAATAGTGAACAAAAAAACATGTTTTTGAAGTGTAGAAAATAGAAAGTTTTGTTTTATGCAAATTAAAAAAAATATATATATGCATACATACATTGTAAAGCTATGCAGTAATTATATTTGATATTTACTATATTAAATGTAATATTTATGAATGGAGAAACACCCCTGTATCCCTTAAAATCAGAACAGGGGACCCAACAACTGTCTCTTTATGCTAGATGCTGTCTACTCGCTCCTTGTAAAGGGCTAAGGAGGTTTGAAGCTTTAAATCATACCAGTATGAAGCTAAGTAAATAAAAATATATAAAAAAAGGAAAGCAATAAAAATTTGAATGACATTTGTATTATTGTCTTACATGTGTTTATTAGAAAATATAATTTTCTTAGTGGTTTTCAGTGTCCCAACTAATATGAACATTTTGACAAAAACGAAATATTATTTTTAAAATAATTCAACAACAAAACATGTTTTTCGTGTGTAGCAAATAGTATAGTTTTGTTTTATGCAAATTTAAAAACAAATATATGCGTACATACACTGTAAAACAAAACAAAAATTTGACAAACAAAATATGAACTATTATTTTGAAATATTTAAACATAAAAAAATAGTTTAAGCAGATTAAAGAAGATTAAATTGCTTGTAATTATGTAACATTCATTAGGAGATTAAAAAAAATTTTATGCAAATTTAAATATTTTGGAAAAAAGGCTACTAGATATTTAAAATGTAAAAGAAAATCTGCGTGACTTTGATATGATTTATAATTTGTCGATATAGTGTACGCAGAATAGTATATTTTATTGTAATATCGTTGCATAAATTAATTATTTTTATTTTTTAAATATATTCTACCTGATAATCCGAAAAAGCCAACTGATTCTTAACGATTCCTCCTGTAACCCTGTGTATGAACCATAGTTGAGGTTTTGTCATACTGTTTTGTTTTCTTTTATGTTGTTTGGTCGATAGGAGTTAAAGTGACTAGTTGAAAAACAATAAAAACTTGAATAAACTACATATTTTCTAGTCAATATATTATAAAACATTATGGGGTAAGTTGAATGTATTCTTTTTGTTTTACTATCTTTTATGGTTTAATTTTTAGGATTTTATAGTAATTACTAACATAAGTTTATTTTTCATTACTGGCATTATTAGCAACATTTCAAAACAAAAACTAGGTAAAATTTAAAAAATAGGCATGATCTTTATATATACTCAAAGTCAAAATAAATTTTTGTTTATTTTCCATGATAAAGATTAACTTATATACCTATATATTATGTTAATAATCCTTTTACAGACTTTAGATTAAAAATATTAAAAAAATATGTTCAATTTTGTCATTTTCATAGACAACTTCTTGAAAATGTTCTTTTCAATTAATTAAGGTTTTGGTGGAGACAAAAAAGTCAGTGTCACAAGCAGGATTCGAACCCACGACCTTCGGCTAGATACACCGCTGCTATATCGCTTGACCTATCATGACTTCGATCCACTCGAACAATGGGAAGTTAGTGTCCGAGTGGATCGAGGTAACGATAGTTCAAGTGGTAGAGCAGCGGCGTATTAAGCTGAAGATCGTGGGTTCGAATCCCGCTCGTGACACTGAATTTTTTATCTCAACTAAAAACCTTAATTAATTGAATGTTATTTTGTACATTGTGTGTATGTTTTATGTGCTTACATGTACGAATCCAAGTGTTCGAAAAAAATTTCTTTAATTTAATTGGTACAATGTGTGTTTATATTCATTATAAATTTATTTTAGTTTTTCTTTTTCATTGGTAGTTTAATTTAAATTATAAGTTTATCGCTTATATTATGCTCTCATAGTCAACTTAGCCATTATGTTCATGTCCAATAGTGGTTAAAGAAAATTATATATTAATCCATTTATGTTTAGAGGTCTAATTGACCATTTTAATTATTTCAATTAATTATTAGTTTTGTGTAAAGTCTCGGTTGAGATGAAAAAGTCAGTGTCATGAGCGGGACTCGAACCCACGATCTTTGGCTAGATACGCCGCTGCTCTACCACTTGAGCTATACTGACCTCGATCCACTCGGACAACTCCCCATCTCAACGTACAACCTTTCGAATTTTCCGTCCTCTTAGCAATTTTTCAGAGTGGGTTTGTGGGTTCAGCGGCGTATTGAGCCGAAGGTCGTGGGTTCAAGTCCCGCACGTGACACTGACTTTTTCATCTCAACCAACACCTTACATAAATAGAATAATTAATGGAAATGATATATTATAATTATTTTGTACTAATCCATATTTGTTTAGTGGTCATAATTGACTGTATTAATTATTTCAATTAATTGTTCTTTTTATCTAAGGTCTTGGTTGAAAAAGAAAGTGTCATGAGGGGGATTCAAACCCACGACCTTCGGCTAGATACGCCGCTGCTCTACCACTCGAGCTATTGTGACTTCGCTTCCCATCTCAACCCCACCTTTTGAATTTTCCCTACTTTTCTTGAAAAAGTTAATTGGTTTTTTAATTTGTTTCCTTGATGAAACAATAAATTTAAGTAAAAAATTATTTACTTTTTTCTTATCAAAATCGTGGTGTTCAGAAGATCTCACTGAGACAACAGATGCTTTGACCAATGACAGATATTACAAGTCTCAAGTCCTAGGGGGTCATGTTTTACTTGGTTGGTCTACAGAGGTCTAAAAAAGTAAAGGTCTTATAATAAAGCCTTGAGGTACACCAGCTCTAAATGAGAGATAATAGTAGGTAGAATTGGAAGCTTTAACTATCCGATTTCTGTCAGACAGATAAGAGGAAATGATATTGAAGCAGTAAATATGCAAAAGCATCTAGTTATAATATTAATAATGTTTTAAATGTGGTTTATCATTGTTCCAACTCGTAGTCAAAATCGTAGTTTTATATTGAGATCTCGCCCAGACAGATGCATTGGCCAATGACAGACATTAAGTTTCAAGTCCTAGGGTGTCATGCTTTACCTGGTTGGTCTACAGAGCCTATTATAGTCTATTGTATGAATAAAATGTTGATAACTTTGGAAAATGTCAAAATGCGACAAAACGCCAAAATTTGGATTTTTCTAGTCTTCTAATTTCTCGATTTTTTACATTTGTTAACCTTTTCTTATGGTATAAACTGTTTATTCTGCCTACTCTAACTAACAGAAGGTATTGTATAAATAGAACGTTGATAACTTTGGAAAATGTTAAAATGCGACAAAACGCCAAAATTTGGATGTTTCTCATCTTCTAATTTATTGATTTTTTTACATTTGTTAACCTTTTCTTATGGTATAAACTGTTTATTCTGCCTAGTCTAACAGAAGGAACTGTATAAATAAAACGTTGATAACTTTAGAAAATGTCAAAATGAGGCAAAACGCCAAAATTTGGATTTATCTCATCTTCTAATTTATTGACTTTTTACATTTGTTAACTGTTTCTTATGGTATAAACTGTTCATATCCTCAGTACAATATGAATAAAATGTTTATATCTTTGGAAGATTGCAAAATGTGGCACGTATGGGGTGTTTTTTTTAGGACAGACACAAGCATTCAAGAGAATTTGGCATTTGAAAATTCTCTTCAGACTAAAACGGTCCAATCAGTATTGCCCAATCCTTAATCTAATTGGTCACTGCGTCAAAGTGGCAACGAGTACCCAAAAATAGAATGGATCCAAGCTGGTGTACCACAAGGATACATTCTTAGTCCCATCCATTTTGTTTATGCTGCCAATTTCTTCCAACTATCTTGTCAACCTGTCAAGCAAAAAATACTGCATGTACAAAACCGAGTCTCATATTTGCCACTGCATCCAGGAAAACCAATAGTTTATCAAAGATTGGTGCAAAAAATGTAAAATGAAATTGAAAGAAAATAACTGCACCCTAAAACACTTTTTTGTAAAAAAAAAAAAAAAAAAAAAAAAAAAAACGCCCTAGACTATAAGCTAACTACAAAAAATTACTGGCATCCTACAAGTTACGTTTACACTCAAATGTCAAACCTGCCTACCAGTGTACAAAACACTCATCACGCCAATTTTACGTAGGCTGAGGGCCAAATCATCCAGCATCCAACAAATTCAATCTTTTCAATCTAAAGTTATCCGTCGTATCTTCATTGCTCCCTTCATCATAAAGATATTAAAATTCCTTTTGTGAAAGGTCTTATCTGAAAATGCTTCTTCAATTTCCAGCCTAAATCATCCCTCCAACCTAACCCACTAGCTTCAAAAATGGCGATGGCCTTGTGACTTCTATCTTAACCGACCCAATTAAGTAAAAGAGCATTCCAGCAGAATCCTCACGTGAGCTGAAGCAGCAAGAACTAAGAAGACTTCTTGGAACAAAACAGACAAACAGAACAAAAATAATAATTCATCATTTTTGCACATTTGGACCAGAACTGTGTGGCACCAATCCATCCAATATCCAACCCATACAAGCACTCAAACCAAAAATCCTCTGAATAATTCTCCAAGCTTCCTACTCCTCTAACTTCAACTTACCTTTGTTCAAGACTTCCCGGAGTTTCACCCCCTTCCGTTCAAGCCCTCTCTTTTATCTCACAACCTTTCAATATTCTACGACGCTTTATCCTCCCCCTTTCTTTCAGCTGTCAGAGTATCAGCCAAGACTGGTTTCTCAAGATTTGTCCTCAATGATCAGCACAAATTGTCTGAACACTCCATGATACAAACAATATACAATATAAATACATTATATTTTCTTGTATTCTAGTCTTTACCTTTTGTGCCCTCGTTTTCAGATTTTAAAGGTTTGGTGGTTCACAGTGAATTAACCGGAAATTATTTATCACTGTCATTTATGATGATTTGTCAACTCATGCTGGAATCTTTATCAAATAAAAAACTGAGTTATCTCTAAGACACTAATGTGATAATTATTTTGTCTGAATTTTTTTAAATTAAATAACGTTTGGTAAAAAAAAAATAATAATGGAGCGATTATTTTCATTTTATTCTTCAAATCAATTTTCTTTATGTAAGATGCGGTCTGATGTAGGTTGCAGAAAAACATTTTCTTTATCGTGCCAAGTTTTGATCTTTATTGACAACATCTTCAGGGCCTGGGATTTACATAGTTTAAATTTAACAAATACATGTAGGATGTGAAAAAAATGAATTTATATGATGCAAAATATATTTTTTATATTCAATCAAAGTATTTCTACTCACTCAAAGTGTTTGTTTTCTGCATTTTATGTTTATATACGTTGGCTTTTGAAGGGGGGAAGGAAGTCGGTATAGAAAGAGATTTTTGTATGAGTCGGCTTGTTTGAGGTAAAAGGAGCTGACGAAGGGAAAAAAAAACGGTAATGGTTCGGCCAGATTGAATATAAAAATTATTTTTTGCATTGTATAAACTCACTTTTTTCCACATCCTACATGTATTTGTTAAATGTAAACAATTTTTGTAAATCCCAGGCCCTGAAGATGATCTCGATAAAGATCGAAACGTTGGCTCGATAAAGAAAATGTTTTTCTGAAACCTACATCACACCAGATCGCATCTCACGATTAACAAATAACGATCGACTAACGGTCACTAATCACCACACATTTCATGTAATTGTTCATGATTTTAATTTAGACCATTTACTCTTTTTTCTAGGTCAGAGGCGAACATTATGGATATTGTCGCAAAGGAGGAAGCTGTGGCGGAGTTGAGGAAGAAAGCTTTCCAGGAGGAGCTTGTCGACCTGATGGAAAGGGGCGAAGAAGCGAGGAAAATAGAGGAAGACATGAACCGCTTCTCGATCGCTGAAGACCTAAGCGTATATAGGCAGTTTAAAATTCGGCCCGACATCGAAAACAGGTTCGGAATATTATCACAGTTGAAAATTTACAATTAAAAATTGATCATTACTAGGTTTCAATCTGGCTACGTAAGAGAAGAAATACAAGATGTGCTTCATACTATGTTGAAAGATAAGAATTTTTCCGAACAGGACCCTGGCGAATTGACAAAATTAATAGCGAATACTATTCGAAACAGGATCGGAGGTAAAATATTTGATATAAACTATTAAGCACAATTTTTTATTATTATTATTTTTTTAAACCTTAGGCTCAGGCAAATTATACAACCGTTATAAATTAGTCGTTCATGTCGTTCTGGGAGAGCATAAAGGAGCGGGCGTTAAAAGTGGCGCAAGGTGCCTTTGGGATCCGGAATGTGACACATGTGTTACGGAAAATTTCTTAAATGTAATGATCATAAATTTCACTCTGTTTGACAATAAAAAAAAATTGTTTGTATTTTTCAGGACAATATGTTTTGCGTAGCTACAGTTTTTGGAATATTGTTCTACTGAGAAAATTACCAGTTGATTATTATTGTGATATGAATGGCACAATTTTCTTTGATAATTGTCATGTTTTATAAATAAATTTGATAGCCAAAGATTATCGAATATATTTTATCATAGTTAATTAACTTTAACTATTTTCTTATCTGAATGACTCATGGCTTTTTTGTATTTATTTTCTAATTAAACTTACGAAGCAAAATCACAATGAATAATTTTTTTTTACTAGTGACAATTTCTGTAGCTCGATCATCTCTGGTCATTCTGTTCTTGCACATTTTGTCTCAGGAGTATTTAAACGAAAATTCCAATTTATCAAATAGTACAGTCCATTCATTGAAAATAGTGCAGATCGACCAGACTATCAGGTATGATTATGCTACTGGATCACCTCGCACACAGCACAATTTTTTTCTCAATAAGTTATTATAATGTATTTGTACATTAGAGTTGTGTAAATATAACAATTATTTTTGATTGTTTTATTTCAATTTTGTAGCAGCCTTTCCCATAAAACAATTTCCTCTTAAATAAAAAAGAAAAAAAAGAAAAGAAAATTGGTAAAATTTTAAAAATTATAAATGCTATTTTTCTACAAAACGGTGGTGGTTGACTAGGTCCCCAGATACCGGTATAAAATTTAATAAAAAGGTGGCTAAGGCATCCCAACCAATGCAATAATCTGACACTAAAAATGTGATTAAAAACGCGATTAAAAGGATATTGAATCAGTGGGCTGGATTGGTAGAAAAGTTCTTACAAATCAAAAGTCAGTGATATGTGGCCATCGAAGGCTGAATTGAATGAAAGAGACCCAGCTAAAGGTGTGAGTATTTTATTCTCAAGAGTCTCTCGAGAACTGTACTCGCTAGTGGATACACCTCTGAGAATACTCACAGGAAAGTAGCGGCTGACTGTCAGAACTGACATGTCCTGGCATGCTCTCTAGTCGAAACGCCTTTCTTCCCTCTCTGGGAGGAGCTCAGAATACAAAAATATTTCATGCTATGAGATACTCATGAAGCTGACTTTATGGCAGTGGTTCCCAAACTTTTTTGACCCATGTACTCCTTTTTATAGTCAATAATTTCCCACGGACCCCCAAGTGAAAAAGTAAATGCATAGTATAAAAATTACAAAAAAATTTTTGTTGAAGAAGTACTTATTGAAATTATAAATATATATAAATTATAATTACAATTAATTAAGGTTTTTTTTAGTTGAGATAAAGAAAATGGCACGAGCGGGATTCGAACCCACGATCTTCGGCTAGATACGCCACTGCTCCACCACTTGAGCTATCGTGACTTTGATCCACTCGGTCACTAAATTCCCATCTCAACTCCACCTTTTGAATTTTCCCTCCTTTTTTGAAAAATGGCAAATGGTTTTTATCTCAACTAAAAACCTTAGTTAATTGAAAGATATTAATTGGTCAAGTGGACCATGAAAACTAGGGAGTTCCCTACATAATTGAACTGAGTTATTCTTGGGCCCCACTTTCTAAAAAATGGTCAAAGTTTTTTTCGAAATATGTTCAGGCATGGCAGACATTTCCTGTCAAAATTTTACAGCTCTTCTTTAAATTTGACTCATCTCACAAAATAATGTGGAGTAGAAACCAACTACTCTCTCTCTTTCTTTCTCTCTCTCTCTCTCTCTCTCTCTCTCTCTCTCTCTCTCTCTCTCTCTCATTTTCTCACCCAATAGATTTTTTTATAAACTTAGCAAGTATTAATTCCAAGTTATCTAAATAGGTCAATGACCAAACTTCAATCACATAGATTAGGTCTGATTTGATAAAAACGTCAAATAATATTATCTTACAAGTGATGACATACATGTGACGGCCAAGTTGGTGGGTCATGAATTTGGACCAACTTTTTTTTGGTGATTCTAGACTTGAAAATATCAGACATATCTGTCATCACCTATCTTGTGAATAGGCCCTGACTTTACAAAAAAAAATTTTAAGTTGAAATTTTTTTTTAAATATTTTTAATTTGCCTTTCTACTTGCTCAAATAAACTATGTGAATATATCATTTTACAGATTTTTTAATGTAGATTGCAGTAAAGATGTAGTAAATGCTATAAAAGTTGATTAATAACATTTATTAGGTTTTGTGGTCTGTTTGACCAATTAAATTCTTTTAAATTAATTAAGGTTTTGGTTGAGATAAAAAAGTCAGTGTCACGAGCGGGATTCGAACCCACGATTCAGCTAGATACGCCGCTGCTCTACCAATTGAGTTATCGTGACCTCGATCCACTCGGACACTAACTTCCCATGTCAACCCATCCTTTTGAATTTTCCCTCCTTTTTGCCATTTTTCAATTTATCAATAACCAAAAAATTTCTACCAGCCAAATATTTTTCAAGTAAACTAGGTCATAATTTTTTACATGAAACTAATACGAAATTTTGTTTTAGCACATCTAGGGAACCCTAAATAAAAATATATGCGGAAGCCACTGAGTCTCCCCTAAATATCAAAATCGAAAATTAGCTGTGAACAAGATTATCCATTTGTACCAAAACAAAAGCCCAAATATGTCAAAAATAATTGCAATGATGGTAGAAGTTCAAACCGGCAAATTTTGGCTGCGTAAAAAATCACAACCTACAGTGTTCCTCCGGGCAGTATGAACTATATATATATATATATATATATACAGTGTTTAAAAGCAAAATAGATCCAATTTACAGATTTAGTATACCCACAGCTGTCACTACACCCCAGAGTAACGATTTGGAAGATTATACAAAATTCCCTACTTGGATGGCAGAGAAAAGGTTTTTGGCTAATGCCAGGGATATCCTCAAAGACCTGATCTTTACAAATGGGTCAATGATAGAGGGAAAGGTAGGATTTGCCATCTATGATCCTATACACAAGGTTAATAAAATGTTTTTACGGTTCACAGTATGTGGGGTGCTTATAAGCACAGAATGGGACGAAGGGAAACCACATGTGATTGTCTGGAAAATTTAAGCCACATAGTGATGGAATACCCAGAATATGATGAAAACCGACGTAAGTTCATTAAGGGAATTCAGTCTCTGGAGGGACTAACAAGGCCATTTTGTCTGGAGTCCCTTGAACTCCAGGCGTACAGACATGGATGACATATTTGATCTGATTTATTGCTTCTTAAAGGACTGCAAAATTGACTTATAACCCAGGGAAAAAAATTCATAAATTTATTGACCCCTGAAATTTTTTTAATTTTTGAAAAGTTATCGAAATATCTTATTGAAATGGCTATAATTCATGATTCTAGTGTTATAAAACGTTTAGATATCGACTTTTGTGGAAATTGATGAAAATAATTTTTTTACTGATAATTTTGACGATCTGCGTGACTGACATTCCTGGTGCAAGTTCTAACACCATTTTTCTCCAAAGCTGTTGGACCAATTTTTATGGTTGATAGTTCATTTTAACATTAAAATCAGACTATTATTTCCATAAAAAAATATGTTATAACGCTGTGTTCCTTTTCTTTCATATGGTCTGTTTGACATTAAAATCCATATAGATATTCCAATAACGGCTCTCAAAAATTTATATTTAGGGGTCTCTAGGGGTAACAAAATTTCATATTGGTTTCATGAAAAAAATGACCTAGTTTACTTTAAAAATATTTGGTTTTTTAATTTTTTTTTTTTGGTAATTGGTAAACCTGGATAGCTTTTACTGATTTTTATTGCAATCTACATAAAAATGCGTTTTTTTTGTTTTGTTTTTGTCGAAACCAGGGCTCATTCACATGAAGTGGCATGTCTGATATTTTGGAATGTAGAATCACAAAAAAAAAGTTCGATCCAAATCTTTGATCCAAAAACCTGGTCATCCCCTTGTTAGTTACCAAAGAATTGGATTTAGAAACAAGTAGGATTCTTATATTGTTAGATCTAAAATTTTCTTTTGAATAAAGTTGTCATAGTCAAGGCCAAATTTCTCAACAATTAATACCTTTGTTTTACCAGTATTGACGGTGAGATCTTCCACACAATATGTTATACCAGGAATTAGCAAAATAAACAAATCATCGTCAAGAGCATGAAATTTCTTCTGTTTTCAATATGAATCCTGCATATTTGGTAAAATACTTTATGATGTACACTATACAAAAAACAGAAATGGACTTAAAATTTCCCCCTGCATCACTCCTACCAACTGAATTTGTTGAATTTTTCATGAAACAGTCGATTGTTTTATGTAAGTTTTAAATATTTAAAAGTCAGTATTTCCTAATTACTAATTTCCAATTTTGTTTGCCATCTACCATTGGAACATTTCTGAGCAATCCAGTACATGATCATCTGACATTATCACTGAAAGTGCGTGTATGTCATCCTGTTAGCTTTTGTATAACTTTTTTTTTTAGCATCAAGGATTTCAGGAATATATGTTCATTCAGAATAAATTTAACTGCTAAATATTAATTTTTTAAAAATTGTAACCGTTTATTTTAATACTGAGGAATTTATTATAAATGTGATGTGTTTAACATATAAACCAAACAACATAAACAAATTTATAACAACAAAAAGCATCACACTATAACAATATAATATTAAACTTAATATTTAGACTAGAGTTTGTAAAATTGCTAAAATAAGGGTAATATAAAATTACCTTTTTATTTAGTAGGTAGTAATTCTATTTGAAAAGACATTTATTAAGTTGTTAAAAATTAGTCGTTTTTTCACAAAGCCAATGTCTAGTTCATAATGCATGATTCGTATGTCGGGATCATATATTTTATATTTATGAATGCATCTCTGCCACCATGCTTTTCCAAAATTTCCAGTGTTTCTTGTATCAGATCTTGAACATTTTCTCTTTTTTGCTGGCCATAGTCTATATCATCTCCGGTAAATTCGTTATAACTCTCTGAAAAAAGAAAAAAGAAAAAAAAAAAAAAAAAAAAAAAAAAAAAAAAAAAAAAAAAAAAAGTCAAAATAAAAATGAATACTTAAAATAATATTTGGAAAATTTAGATTCTGAGAACTTACTGCTTTGAATTTTCATGTAGTTTAAAGGTGGAAGGATTTGTCTGTAGTAAGGTACAAGGGCATGTCCTATTTCGTTTGAAGAGGATGCCAAGTCTTGGAGGACTTTTAGGGTTGTCGCTATAACTATTTCATTTCTTGTGTTGAGAGCGTCTAAAAAACAGTAATTTATATGACTGATTCAAAATTACAAAACCAAATACTGACTTTTGATCGGTAGGATGATCTGCGGGATGACAGGAAGTACTTTGTGAGGGCCTTGCATTAGCAAATCATGAATTCCATGTTGGGTAAAAAACGTGTAGGGATGCTCGGTTTCGGTGAGCCCTTCAAAAAACATGGGTAAAAAGTAGTGATAATCTAACTCAGATATGTTAACCTACAAAACCAAAACTTTGTGAATACATTGTTATTGAAAAGTTTGGGATGTCATGGATGAAGTAGTGATGCAATAAAAAAAAACACTACTTTAAAGTTTTTTTATTTCAATATTTGTTATTGAATAGCATTAACTTATAATAAAATGCAATTACCCTCCAAGATACTTTATAACCCATTTGGTCAAATTCCATAGAGATGGGTAAATCTCCTCTTTTGTAGTATGTTCTGAAGCATGACTGCCCAACGGGAAATGGTTTCCTAGGCTTGGACTTAGGAAAAGGCTGAACGACTGTGTTCTTTTGAAGGGACTGAACTGAAAACGGTGGTACAATCCTCGCATTTTGCTTTTTTTTCCCTGCCGAAGCTATGTATTCTTGCGTCAATGGGTAGCAAGTCTTGTCAAGATACTTCATCCGTTTCTCCATTTTGCTCCTTGGTAAATCCATCTTTCTTTCCAGTATATCTTACTTAACAACCTACCTATTAAACTTATTAACTTACACAAGCATAGTGGAATAATAAACATGTGTCTTTAAATAAACAGTTGTATTTTCATCACTTAGCAACCATTGATGTTATAGGGGTTTTCTTTTTAGCTATGAGGGAAAACTCTCAGTTTGAACTCTACACGACATGAACACAACCAAACAGAAAAACAAATTTAAGCACTCATTTTGTTATTTGTTCTGACCCAGGATGCCCAAATATCCTTATAGCTTAGGACCTGTAAAACAGAGTTCCAAAATTAATTTGACGTAAGCATATTTGCTTTAAGTTCTTCTAATGAAATAACTCACGTACACGATAATTATCTTTTCAGGCAGCGACAAACTGCAAAAAGCACAGTAGTCCCGTTAGGCAGTTACCATAGGGCTGAAAGCTACATTGAATCAGGGTTGAGAGAAAAGATAAAATCATGTAAAATTTGTTTATATAAGTTTGTCACATACTTGTGTAAGCTTAGTCTTCCTTCACGTAAAGCATAAATTTTCGCCATTCATCTTATAACTTTTTCTTATCCTCAAGTGAATATTATTAGGTGTAAAAGTTCAACCAAAAATATTACATATGGACTGTAAAAGCCACATTTTATTTTTAAACAAAACATTTGAAAAAAATATTAAAAAATAATCGTAATAAAAATAATTTTAAAAAACTGTTGGAATTATGTCAAATCTATACCATTTTTTCCAAACTTGATTAAAAACTAATATAAACTCGCTATTTTTTATGGTACGGTTGACCAATTAATATCATGCAATTAATTAAGGTTTTAAGTTGAGATAAAAAAGTCAGTGTCACGAGTGGGATTCGAACCCACGACCTTTGGCTTGATATGCCACTACTCTACAACTTGAGCTATCGTGACTTCGATCCACTCGAACACTAACTTCCAAACTCAACCCCACCTTTTTGAATTTTCCCTCCTTTTTGCCATTTTTTTATCTCAACTAAAAACTTTAATTAAATGAAAGATATTAATTGGTCAAGCGGACCATGAAAACTAGTGAATTTACTGATTTAACTTAAGCTGAATGAACTGACGCAAATTTGGAGTTGTTTCCTATGAATTTTGCATAATTGAAGGTGGCTCGGGGAAAATTACTGCTTCCGGTCCTTTTACTTACCACTAACAATTTAATTTGTAATGAAACAACTAAGTTTATTCTAGCTCTCTAACTAAGTTTATTATTAGCTCTCCGTGGCCATTTCATTTGTCGCCGAGAATCAAATAGATTACACGACATTTGAAAAATGGCAAAAAGGAGGGAAAATTCAAAAGGCGGTGTTGAGATGGGAAGTTAGTGTCCGAATGGATCGAAGTCACAACAGCTCAAGTGGTAGAGCGGAGGCATATCAAGCCGAAGGTCGTGGGTTCGAATCCCGCTCGTGACACTGACTTTTTATCTCAACTTAAAACCTTAATTAATTGACTAATATAAACCTTAAGTAAAACATAATTAATTGTACATAAAAATTATTAAAATAATTCTTGCCATACAGAGGGTGTAATGTCCCATGATCCACTTTGCAATTTTCTTTTCATACTAATTCAAATTTCATGGACTTTGCTGCTAGTTTGGCGAGTCTAACGCCCTAATCACAGCTCCCCATAGTTAATATTGACTCAATAAAATTAATTAGTCATACATGTTAATTTTTATACACTCTTGTGTATGCTAAATTTTATGCATCGAGATTGTTGAACAATTTGGAAAGAATATTTACATTATTATTCTGAATATTTTGATTTAACTGTTATAAAACTGCATTGTTAACTATAGTATGTATTCAAAAGTGTTTATTTATTTATTTTAAATACATAGTTTTAAATTTTATTTTCCCATTTAGTAAAAGAAGGGAAGGCTTCGACAATAATACCCCTGCTTTCCCAAAGGCTGAGTGTCATCGAACAGGAACTTAGATCGATCAAAAGTCAGCTCAACGAAGCCAATCACTTAATAAAGGAAAAAGATTCCGAGATAAACTACCTCAGAGCGCGGGTATCCGATCCGAAGATTTTATACAAATTTTGATATTTACCCGAGTGTTTAAATTGCAATGTTGCTTTTTCTTGTAGTTAGCTCAAGAGAACAAAAACTCAGTAATTAACAATGGACAACCTAAACTGTCTGATGAGGCCAAGAATGAAAAGGTGGTATATTTTAGCCAAATAAATTAATATACAGAAACTATAAAATAAAAAAATTTACAGGCGAAAGCTAAAAGTTTTGACACGAGTAAAGAGGTAAAAGCCAGACCTGTTTTATATTGACTTATTTTCTATATATAGCTCTTAAAAATTAAATTTAATTAATAATTGTAAATAGCGTTCCATAAAAAATGGTGAATCATCAAGCCCGAATAAAGAACAAAGACAACAAAAAGGAGAAATTCCAGTAAGTTAATTAGGATTGTTTGTATTAAGTAACAATATAATTTATATATAAAAAAAGATGCAAAACTCATCAATATTAAACAGCAACATTGTTTTCCAAAGTTTCTATTTTTCTACTCTAATAAATATTAAAATTCCGATTCCCTGGCATAGGATTTCTTGTGAGATTTTCGCTTTATTATCATGAGTCACCACATCACCCCTAACCAATCATTCGTATTTTCTAATTTTTTATACAAAGTGGATGATCATTTTTCTTGCCAGTCAATTTTCAGAACCAAAATCTGGAAATAAATCATGGTGGCAGGAGAAACTTGCAGATAATTATACTTATCGATAGCGTCAACAAACTGATTTCTGTACAACTAAATATTATTTACTGTGTCCCTCTTTTTTGTACTATTACTGTTATCAACTTTGACAGTTTGACCTCAAGTTCAACAAGTATGTTTCTAATTTTGATATAATTTTAACCGAACTTTGTAAAAATTACCAAGAGGTCATCGGCATATTAATGTATTTGTCAACCATTTATTTCCCCTTCTCAACTAAACTTACAATTTTTCAATCTGAATAACATTTTCTTCCTGTAAATTGCGCTTTGTGGAAATGAGCAAATAGTCATCAGAGTACATTAAAAAATTAATATTTTGACCATTTATTCCTACCTCCTTCTAAACATTCCTCTAAACTGTTTATGTATAATGAAAACAGTAGGGATCTAAGAATGCCCCCCTGCATTACTCCCATATTGAAAAAAATTAAAATATTCCAATTTTACTTCATGCAAATGATTTAGTATTCTGATAGGGGACCGTGATGATACTCAACTAAACTTACAATTTTTCAATTTGACAGGTTTACCTTCAACTTTTGTAAATCACAATGCGCTTCTAGTTTGAATAACATTTTCTTCCTGTAAATTGCGCTTTGTGGAAATGAGCAAATAATCATCAGAGTACATTAAAAAATTAATATTTTGACCATTTATTCCTACCTCCTTCTAAACATTCCTCTAAACTGTTCATGTATAATGAAAACAGTAGGGGTCTAAGAATGCCCCCCTGCATTACTCCCATATTGAAAAAAATTAAAACATTCCGATGGAATTTGGTGGGGTGCAGGGGTTTGCAGTACAAAAGATATTTTCTTGCGATATCAACATCAATAATAATAAAATAATAAATAAAATTTTAGGTTAACTGTTATGATAATGTGACAGGATTGTAGTTTATAGAGTAGGCATAAAACAGAAAAAAGGATATTTCCAAATTAATATAATTACAAAAATTTATTTATAAACAGCATTCCGTAAGAAATGGCGAGTCATCAAGCCCAAATAAAGAACCAAGAGATGCACAAATCAAAGGGGAAAGTCCTGTAAGTTTGTTACGGTTATTAATGTTCTCAAAAAGAAAAAAATTATACAGTGTAAAATTTGTTCCTTCAATATGCTTTATTCATAATCACATACAGTACAACTGGGTTTCCATTTATTAAGAAAAATTCAGTTTTAGGCAAATTTTTGACAACAAAATAAGAAAAAGAAATTTTTGTTATTAAAGATTACCAAGCAAAATTAAACCACATTTAATGTTCATTAATCGGTTATTTTGGCAATATTTTGTTCTAAAGAATAATTATAAGCATAATCTATAAAAAAAATATAATTTAATTGTACAAAAACAGCGTTCCATCAAAAATGGTGAGTCATCAAGTCCAAATAAAGAACCAAGAGATCTACAAGTCAAAGGGGAAAGTCCTGTAAGTTGGTTAAAATTAATACTTTTAGGCCAATTGGCTGACAATAAAATAAGAAAAAGAAAGAAATTTTTGTTATTAAAGATCACCGAGCAAAATTAAACCACATTTAATATCAATCAATCTCGAATTTTGGCAGGATTTCGGTCCAAAGAATATTTATAAGCATTCCGCAAAAAGTTTAATTTAATTGGTCAAATTTATTTAAAAAACAGCGTTCCATAAGAAATGGCGAGTCATCAAGTCCAAATAAAGAGCCAAGAGTTCTACAAGTCAAAGGGGAAAGTCCTGTAAGTTGGTTAAAATTATTAAATTATTTCTTTTGTGTGATACAATAACATTTTCAATTTTTTCCATTTTAGTAAGCTTTATTCATAATCACATACAGACCAACTAAAAAAATTCCCTTTAAAGCAAATTGGTTGACAAAATAAGAAAAATAGAGTTTTGTTATTAAAGATATCACCAAACAAATTTAAACCACATTTAATGTTAATTAATCTGGAATTTGGGCAAAATTTTGGTCCAAAGAATATCTATAAGCATAATCTGCAAAAGGTATAAATTAATCGATCAAATTTATTTAAAAAACAGCGTTCCATAAGAAATGGCGAGTCATCAAGCCCAAATAAAGAACAAAGAGATCCAGAAGTCAAAGGAGAAAGTCCAGTAAGTATATTAATTTAAAAAAAAATGCTAATACAAGAAAAAATATAACTTCACAGAAGTGGTGTAGAAATTAACCTTATCATAAAACTTTGTTCTAATATTTTGTATTACAATAAAAATATATCATGATCTATAGAAAAAATTAAATATTTAATAATATTTAAGATTAATTAATATGATTGTGGTCGAATAGTTATTCATGAGCATAATTACAAAAAAGTAAATTAGTCTGGTGGTGGTTGACTCTATGTATAAAAAAGGCAGACAAAGCAGCTAAGGAAGTCCTAACCTCCAGACCTGATCATCATGATCTGGCCCTCTAAAGTAAAAATGCAATTAAAAAGTTGACACACACATTTGAGCCAAAGCCCACATGTGTCCAGCATGTTTTATGCTGTTTCATTCCAAGGTTTCATTGTTGTAGCAAGTATTTGGGCTTCCTGTTCTGATTTTTGAAGGAAACAGGGCTGTTTATGTTATGTAGTGATTTTTATATATGGTTTTGTGTATTATTTTTGAGTTCCAAGTTTGGACGTATTTATTAGCAAAAATATCTAGTGTGAGAGGGACATTGGTGAGAAATTGAGTATACCACCGAGTCTCAATTAAACTCCACCCTACTTAAGTGAATATTATGTAAATAGGAAAGAATTTAACGATGAAAATTTAGGAAAGAATTTATTAAGAAAGAGTGAGTTCACTCCTAGGTTTCAAAATTACATTTGTTAGAAGCTGAAATGACCTAGTTGTCTACAGCCCTTGGAAGCTTAACTTCTGTGCCAAGATGGATAAGACTCTAGACTATCAAAGATTAGATTAATTAAATTAGGTCATAAGCTCATATTTGTTTTTCAATGACCTAAGAACTTTCCATATTGGTCAGTGGTTTTTTGGGGGGTTGTATAAAAAAAAAAGGCCAGAGCTGAAAGCTGGAATCGACCCCCATAACCGTGGGGTATATAAGCTGAGAGTATCACGCTGACTACTCGGCTACCACAGTCCTCCAATTAAAATTTAACAATTTGAAAAAAAGCAAAAACAAATACACAAAACAGTGTACGTTCTAAAAGAATAAAATAAATTATATGAAAGAAAAAAATTAAAAATGGTTTGTAAATTGGTTGTTACCGATCATTTTGGTCCAACTATCCTCACAGTGTCGATCAGATCCATTTCAGCATTTTACAATTATTCTGAACCCTGAAATGTGAAAATACATAAAATTAGTTAATCTGTAATTTGATTGTTATCGGGCAATTTGGTTGTCTATCCTTGCTGGGCTGGTCTTTTATGATGAGTGGGTCATCATCATCCAACACTTTATAAGGCGAAATGCTGAAACGTATCTGACAGACCAACAAGTCAAGACTAGATAAACCAAAATTGGTAATGACCAAATTACAGGATTATCATCTTACATTTACTTATTTACGAATTTTACTACTTTTTAATAAGTTTTATGTAATATAATTAATAGAAAATTTATTTTAAATAGAGTTCCAGGAAACACAGTCGGTCTTCAAGCCCAAAGAACGGACAAAGAGATCCTCAAATGAACAAGGAACGTCCTGTAAGTAATATAATCTTTCATTGTAAGGAAAGCAAAATTTACAAAAAATAAATAATAAAATTAATTTAAGATAATGCTTATCAATTCAAAATTATTTTTTTAAAGAAGGAATTTTTGGGTGACCACAGTGGCTGAGTAGTTGGGGCAAGGGTATCATATTTCATCCTAGTGGTTCTGGGTTTGAATCCTGGTACAATTGGAATTTTAATTGGAAATAATTAATTAAGGTGTTTAGTTGAGATAAAAAAGTCAATGGCACGAGCGGGATTCGAACCCACGATCTTCGGCTTGATACGCCGCTGCTCTATCACTTGAGCTATCGTGACTTCGATCCACTCGAACACTAACTTCCCATCTCAACCCTACCTTTTAAATTTTCCCTCCTTTTTGCCATTTCTCAAATAGGTCAAGCAGACCATGAAATTAGTGAATTGGAAATAATATTTAATTGTACTGTGAAGTAGTTTAACTCATCAACCATGAGATCCAGTGGTCAGGAATTATTTTACTTTCTACATTTATGATAAAATTATAAGAATTAAAATACACTTTTAACATTTAACATAAAAAAGTGAACATTTTCCTGATTTAGACATTATAAATTTGCAATTTATAACGTCATAAAACCAAATAAAAATATATATTTATTTTATTTGCACAGGTGTCAAGGAAAGGGCCATGCAATCCAAATGTTGCTATTGTAAGACCAGGGTCACACAAAGCAGAATATAAAGATTTAAGAAACGGCCAGTTAACTGATGTCGATTGTGACGAACCAGATAGTTCTACATCATCAGACTCTAGCCGAATACAAAACTTGGAAAAAGAAAATCAACAGTTGCAACAGAAAATTTCAGAACTGGAGGTATCAAATCGTGCTTTTGTGAATTGCATATTTGAGTAAAGTTTTGTTTTGTTATAGAAGTTCATCGGCGAGTATGGTTTGATGTGGGTCGGAGACAAAGCGCTGACTGAAGAAAATGTTTCACGACCGGGCACGTCTGAAAATCTATCACAAGGAATGACGTACGTTGAATATTAAATGTTTAAATTGTAATATAAACTATGTTTATTTTTAGAACTATAAAATCCAGGGCTGAGGTCAAATTAAATTTTAACCTTGACAATGCAATCACTGTGATATCAGAACTTAATCAAAGTGTGCCTGAACAAAACATCGTAAAGTCCCCATTTGGAGCAAAATTTCAGGTATATATATATATATTTTTTTTTTAAATTCACTAATTTCGTGGTCCGCTAGACCAATTAATATATTAGAATTAATTAAGGTTTTTTAGTTGAGATAAAAAAGTCAATGGCACGAGCGGGATTCAAACCCACAATCTTCGGCTAGATACGCCGCTGCTCTACCACTTGATCCACTCGGACACTAACTTCCCATCTCAACCTCTCTTGAAAAATGGCAAAAAGGAGGGAAAATTCAAAAGGTAGGGTTAAGATGGGAAGTTAGTGTCCGAGTGGTTCGAAGTCACGATAGCTCAAGTGGTAGAGCAGCGGCATATCAAGTCGAAGGTCGTGGGTTCGAATCCCGCTCGTGCCATTGACTTTTTTTATCTCAACTAAAAAAACCTTAATTAATTGTAATCTTTTTTTAAGTTCACTTTTGACACGATACATTTTAGAAATGTGACATTCTGGAATTGAAATTGTACGCTGATGGAATGAAATTAGAAGATAACCCTTTTAGAAAATACGACACTCCTTCAGCAGAAGCTTTCTTCAAAGATTTAGAAGATGGTTATTTTCCAAGCGAATTGAAATCCAGGCATCCACAAGGAGTTATTTTTAAAGTAAGTTTTGATTTCTCGCTAGTTATAAGTTTTCTTTTCGTCCTTAATAAAATGGAGATGGATATCACAGGTCAAACAACTTGTTTTATATTTTACAAATTTTATAAATATATTTACATTCGAAAAAAATAACTGAAACTGTAATGATTCTTATACTGAATCACAGTATTGACTAATTTCTCAATCATTGATCATGGGGCAAATTCTAGAAGTTAAGTACTGGCAATACTCTGATCTCACTCATTTCACATTCTCACAATAAATTGAAGAGGTTTAACTTTAGCTTGTAATCTAAACGAGCTTGAAGCTAGAAAATGTATATTTTCTAAGCTAAAACAAAAACACTATATAATTTAACTAATTATTATTTGACAGCATATTGTTTATATGTAATATTTGATTCTTTTTTATATTAATATTTTTATATAAAAAAAAATTATCTAAGAAAACAAATCTTTTATAGGTTGTTGATAATAGACAATGTACTTATGAAGAATCCAATGAAGATATAAAGCCTACACCTTTTGCTGGAAAAGGATTTAGACTAGGAGGTGAAGATAAAATTTCTGTGTCCAATGAATCAGATGATACTGACTTTACAGATAATTCAAAGCAAGAAAATAGAGATTCTAATAACTCCAAAGGCAAGAGCAAAAAGAAAACCTCTGACAAAGAGCAATTCGTGCCAAAAAAAGTAGCCAAAAATATAAAAGAACAAAATCATAAAAACAGTCCAAGCCCGAAATCTCATGGTTCGCCTGATTCCATCGTTCGAACGGGAATGACAGAAAATATGGCAAATAGAAAGTTATCGCATACCACGAATGTTAAAAATGGGAAACACAACCGCGATTTAGGTGAATCTAGTATTGCGTCTGATCAGTCTGAACTGAAAGAGTATTGGGTGAATAAACATCCGCCACGCCCTAGCACAAATGTAATACTCAACGATAATCCTCCTTCGATTGAAATGCCCAGCGTTCCGATGGAAATCAATTTACCCCCGAGAGAATCTTCATCTCTACCGCCAACATTCACTCAAGCTGTTCCGTTTAAAATGCAAGAGGAAGTCCCATTAAAGCCCTCGGTTTCTACAGTGCGTCCATTCTCTTCAAACGGGCCGAGAGTGCCAACCGAGCCCAAAGTGCAAATTGAACAGCCGAACCAAGCAGATACAGACAATTGGAAAAATCGTGCGCCAATAAATATAACAGTAAGCTGTTGATTTTTCTAAACAGTTTAAATTTTAATTTTTATTTTGTTCAGAATATTACATATCATGAAGCGCCAGTAACGTATCAGATTGGTGGAGATGATCGTTGCATGCATACAATACGACCAAATGTAAATGTCAGACCGGAAATACCAGCAGCTTGTAAATGCGGTCATACACAACCAAAAAGGCCTCAAAGAAATGAGACTTGTCCTGGAACATGTGGCAAAGTTGGAGTTACTCAACAACCATCAATGGTTAGTTTATTTCCAATTTTCTTAGACAAATTTAGACAGATATAATTAACATTTAGAATTCTCATAAAATGAGATATATTGTACTTTTACTAATCATTTCTGTTTTAGAATGTTATGTGTCCTTGTGATTGTGGTGGTCAAGCTGACTTGCATCTTCAGCTTCCTGATAAACCTAAAACACCTACTACCCCAGTTAATGGTACGAAATTAAGTACATAAATTTTTTGTTTTTAGTAAGGGCTTATTCCTACCTTCTTTACTATTTTCTGGAGCTTTGTCCTCTATGTGAAATTCAAGTGTAGTGGGAGAGCGACTTGCATGATTAATTTGCCTTCTTTTGTGTATCATCCATTCTCATGGAAACGATATTTGAAATTAAAGAATTTTTTAAAGATATTCACTTAACTTTTTTTTTTAGATTTACGCTAAGAAATTTTGTTTTAGATAATTATTATGAAATGTAGTCTTTTTTAGAACAGTAATGATTGTTATGAATGTTTTAAAAGTAAAATTTGGAAGTTGTAGAAACTGTCTGACTTCAAAAACACAAAGCCTGCTTATTCAGGAAGAATTTTTGTATCATCAGTTACTGAAAACAAAAATAATTGTGTTTCCAGACAATTTATTGAGATTAAGAATGATTAAATACTCCCAATTTTCACTCATATCATTAAATTTTAAAAGCCTAATTATAACATTATTCATTGTTTTATTGATCAAGTAAATAATAAATGTAAATCATTACATAATTTATAAACTTTCATTTATAATCACAAAATGGCTGGGATCATTCTAATGTGATCCCAATTGCAATTAATTATCAAAGAATAATTTATGTTTATTAATTATTTCAGAACATTTAATTTTACATGGAATGTTCATTAGTAATAATAAATCTTTTTTGATAGATAATTGTGAAGTTTGATAATCCAAAAATAATTTAGATATGTTTGAGGTTAAGTTAGGCTTAGGTTAGGCTCTTTTTGACCCATGTTGGTAATATTGTGCAATCTCCATTATTATCTAAAGCTCTTCTTTAAGCTTAAGGCTTTTTAAGGCCAATGCATTGAGGCAAAAAAAGAAGAAAAAAAAGAAAAATGTTTTTTAACGGATCCCAACTTTGTTTACATGTGTATCCTTCAGTCTTGGCTTTTCCTCTCCCACTATGAATCACAGTTTGCATACTTACACATTTATGATGCTTATTCCGTGGTCATTTCTGGACTTTACTAGTTTTATCCTATTTTTTATTTTATGAAGATGAAATTAGTCAACAATTTAGCGGGAATGAGCCAACAGGGATGATCATGGATGATCAAACTGCAACGATTTTGGCAATGATTTATAACAGCATGAAAGAATATTAAATCAATTTACCAAATTGAGAATCCAGGCTTATTACATGATTACAATTTGAATTTGTATATATTTTTATTTTCTTTGTTGTTGCTGCCCTTCTTTTTTTCCCTATAGATGAAACTCTTCCTTTTTATTTTTCATTTTTTACCTGTTTTTAGGTGGTTTTTAATGAAAATATAGTTTTTCATTGTTTCAGTAACTTGTGCCCTATTTTTACCTAATATTTTATTTCTGTAAAAAAATATAAAATTTACATTATTATTTTTTAATAATAAGTAATATATTTATAATTAACTATTAGTATCTATCTTAAAAATTATATAAATATAAAAAAAAGTATTTTTTCATCCAAGTTGAAAAAACAATGAATTGCCAAAAAAGGCTGGTGTTTTAAAGTACTTTAAACAAGTACAGTAAAATTTTAAACAAAGCTTAAAAAATTTTTGTTGTTGAGAATTTGGAGTATTTGAGCTGTAATGAGTAATAAAGTTTAATCTCTTTTAGAAGGTTACTTGCAACCCATAAAATTTAAAGGAAGGACTGAATACGAAGATAATTATTCAAGGTCGGCTTTGTTTCGGCTTAACAATCTCCCACAAGTCCAGTCGACCATGGACAGCGTCCGACCTGCAGGGGTGCCTTCGTCCACGCCCCGTCAAAAAATAGATCCGTACGAAAAGTTTGAACATTTCACATATTTGGGCCGTCCCAAAGACGATGCAGCACATCTTACACAAAGGTAATTATAATAGTAAATTTTCGTTCGGACAACTATTTACGCTCGGATGGAATATTTGTTTTATTTTATTTTTAACTGCAAGTTGTGGTGCTTCACATCTTTCACAACTTCTTGATAAACAGTTACATTTCACAAATGGCTGCTTTATTACACTTTAGTTAAGCTGATATGGACTTATCAACTGGAAGGGAAGGTGTTTAGGCAAACATTTCAATATCTTTAGCACTGTTCTCTTAAGAAAAATTTTCAATAGTCCATTTTATGTGTCAACAAAACTACCCATACAGACCTAAATATTCCTTTTGTCCAAGATGTAATAAACTCCCATCACAGAATTTTTTTTTTTTTTTTCAATGGCCTCGCATACAGCCAAAGACATCATTTTTAGCATACAGCCAAAGTCCTGTGAGTAGTGTCCAAGATCCCGCCAGAATGGAACCGGACCAGGCCACCGCCGAAGTGCACCTATTAAGTACAGACTTTTGACATTTGGGCAACACCACCCCGATTCGGATGCTTCAGAAAGATGCGGATAAAAACCACTTACATCCCCTGGTGGGGCCATGGAAAAGTCCGCATCTTCCACGCAGAGGGGCACAACTTGCCGTGTGCACTTTCTTCTTATAAATCTTCAAATTCAGAAATCCATCCTGATGAATTCCATCAAACTCTCCTCGCTTAGGGACTTAGTCTGAGATGATTTGGATACAAACAATTAAAAAAAAAGTATGATAAACATCAAAGAAGGTGATATACTTAATAACTTGAAAGGACAAGTTGGTAGTGTTGTTAAGTCATTTTGGATCATTTTGGTCGGCCTTCCAGTTTTCAGTTTTTAATAAAATTTTGGCTAAAACCCTTCCACTGAAGATGGGAGAAGATGAACCATTTGATAGACCAAAACTGATAGGCAGATCAAAATGTTTGGAAAGAACTGGACTACACTTTCCCCACACAGACCTCACAATTTTTGGATGAATGTACAAAAATTAGGTTTTAGTTTGAATAGGGCTCAGTCAAAATTAATAGTACAAAAAACACTATATTTAAAAATTAAATAAATAAATCCTCTTTTCTGATCGATACACTTATTGGCCTTTAAAGTAAATCTCAAGAATATTTTTTTTAAACATAATTTTCTTTAGCTCAACAACAATTTCTGTCTATGTTTTTAAATCATACTTCTTGTTGGAGAACAGATTATTTGCTTACTCCCTTATTCGGAGGTAAAATTTTAAATTTTTAAATCTTGTAGAAAGATTTCTGCATGTTAAAGCCTAAAATTTAGTCCCAACAATGATCCATTATCAAATTTTGTTTCCAAGCTGTATCTATAGATCAACTAAACAATTTGAAAATTTACAATTTCCTCAGACATTGATTCATTTTTTAAGTCTTTTTTTTCTTCTTAATACTGTCTAAACAATGTTTAACAGTATATGTACTTTGTTTGGTAGTGAATAATTTTAGGTATTATTATATTAATTATTTTTATCTACTTATAATTAAATATAGATTCAATTAATTAAAGTTTTTCGTTGAGATAAAAAAGTCAGTGTCACGAGCGGGATTCGACCCCATGACCTTCGGCTTGGTGAAGTCACGATAGCTCAAGTGGTAGCGGCGTATCAAGCTGAAGGTCGTGGGTTCGAATCCCGCTTGTGTCACTGCCTTTTTTATCTCAACGAAAAACTTTAATTAATTGAATGATATTAATTGGTCAAGCGGACCACGAAATTAGATGAATTTAATAAGTTTAAATGAAATATACTTCACTAAAGCTCTCCGTGGCGATTTCATTTGTCGCCGAGAATCAAATAGATTACACGACATTTGAAAAATGGCAAAAAGGAGGGAAAATTCAAAAGTGGGGTTGAGATGGGAAATTAGTGCCCGAGTGGATCAAAGTTCAAGTGGTAGAGTAGCGGCGTATCTAGCCGAAGGTTGTGGGTTCGAATCCCGCTCGTGACACTGACTTTTTTATCTCAACGAAAAAATTTAATTAATTGAATTATATTAATTGGTCAAGCGAACCATGAAAAATAGTGAATTTAATTAAATATAGAGTAATGTATGTGGTGTGAGAAAGTTAAATAAATTATAAAATCTACAGATTATTACTCATGAGAACTTTAATTATTGTCTTTTATAATTAATTTATTTTAATTATAATTACAACAATTAATAATTGCAATTTTACAGAACACTAAAAAAAATTAATTATGATAAATTAACACAAGCACATTACTTTTTTTAACCAACAAATGCTATACATATAATGCTTAATTTAATTTTTTAAAGTGTGTCAGTGCCAAGACCAGCACCAATTGAAATGAATAAAAAGACGTCAGACTCAATGATAACTATTAAACTCTTCTCAGAGCAAAGTACAAGCAATTGTTTTACCAATGTTAACGACAATTATTAATTTTTAATTTTTTTTCCAGACAATAAAACATACGTAATTCATTTGCATCCTAATGAACCTGTAAGTAAAATATGGTCAATTCTCAAAATGGATGGAAAAAAATACGAGATGATCAATGAAAATGATGGCAAACCCGTTATCCTGATCGATCAAGAGACTTTCGACAAACAAAACATCAAAAACAATGATGTTATAACAGTTCGTAGAAGCATTCCAAATCAAGAAAAGATAAAAAAGAGTCAGTCATTAATGTCAGAACGTAATAAGAAAAGGCGTAGCACTGTAGATTCCCTTGCAGTAAATGTTAGACACGTTTCTAGTGAATCTGAACTGAGAAAATCATATCGTTCGGATGACAACACATCTCCATTCTCGGGTTTTTCATACGATTCAAAAAGCAAAAATTCTCAAGCCTCTCAAAAATTGAGCGAAGGAAATGAAAGGCCATCTTTAGTCCCGATGAAAAATCCCCAAGAAGATACCAATGACGAGAACAAGAGAAAATCTCAAATCCGTAGAAAATCGTATGACGCACAAGAAAGACCATCTATAATCTCAAAGAAAACATATCCGTACAATCCTGAAGAAGATGGCATCACTGAAAACAGAAAAAAACCAAATCTCAATCAAATCGCTAGAAATAAATCTAAGCAGGTGAGCATTTCTGAAGCTGGTAATAAAAAGGACTTAGATCATTTTATTCCCTTCAAGTTACCTACTGGTGTAACATTAGGTGACTCTAAAGACAGCAGTGACGATGGGGAAGAACGACGGATTGCAACTCGTAGAGAAGCCGAGGAAAAAATGGCGGATAAGTATGACCAATTTTTAAACCCAAAGAAAAAATTTCCAATTAAAGTATCACCAACTGATTCAAAGCAAAGTATTTTAAAATTAGAAAACAAGCCAGAAACAAGTCGTAAAAAATCAGCATCTTTCTCTGTTGCAAAACAGGACATCCCCTTGGAAAAAGATAGCAAAGAAAGAGAAACCCCCGACAGAAAAAAATCAGAGGTTGAAAAAGAATTGATTAATTCTCAATCGGTAAGACGGAAAACTATTTCAGATGAAAACATTGATGAAAAAGTAATGAGCCCTCCTAAAGCAAAAATGACAACACCTGAAAGTTCACCAAAAACACCAAGCCCAGACCCACTGAAAAATAGGAAACCTAGTGAATCACCTCCTGTCAAAAAAGTTGAAAGCACAATAGAAGACAAAACATCCAAGGATTCTTCAGTCTCTGACAGTTCCAAGCAGTCATCTAAAAGTAAATCGCCGAAAGAAAAATTAAGCCCTGATTATAATAAAATAAAAATGCCTGACAATAAATCAAAGGGAAAAGAAAAACAAACTCCAAAGAAAGGGCCTGCTCGAAAGTAAAAAAAAAACAACATAATTTTGGTTGGTTCAAAAAGATAACACTCAGTTATTAAGGAATGGTAGGAACTCCCAGAAAGTAGAATATAATACTTCCGTTTAACTGGTGAATCTGTGTGGATAATATGGTATCTCTGATTCAGAACAAATAATAAAATGAATTTTACACTGATGATGTGTTTTATAGATAGAATTAACAAAAGTATAATAATGATAATATTTTTTAATGTAGTTCAGTTCTTGGTCAGGTTATGCTTGCTGGTTTGGTCTCATTTAGGCATTTCGATAGTGTTAATACAAAATAATTTTTCTCCAGTCATTCCTGATCTGCTTTATCAGGCCAACATTGAAATGCTGAAATGTGTCCAAAAGAAAAAAAAAAACACCTCAACAAAATATCTCACGAGAGATTTAAAAACTCAATTTCTCTGAGACGGTCTTTGAATTGTAATAAAAATCCAACTGCATTCAAACAAAGTCAATGATTTCAACAATATAAAAAATAAAATTAGTCTTTAGGAACTTCAGAAAGTTTTCTAGGATGCAAAAACTCAAAAAAGATTATAGTATAAATAGCTACATTTCCATGAGGTTAAAAAATGATTCTTTTTTGTTTAATTAAGAAATTGTATACTTTAAAGTCCAGTACTTGACTTATATTTAGTAATTTAATATTCATATCTTTTATTTTTTTAAAGACCGTCAACTCAAAAGTCGAAACGGATCGAATTGAACAAAAAGACATCTGAATCAATGATAACTGTTATACTTCGCTCGGATAAAAGTACGAGTATTAATTATTTTAACAAAAACTAGATCATAGAATAATAGTTTTCTTTTCCAGGCAATAAGACCTTCGTAATACATTTACGTCCAGATGATCCGATAGAGAAAATCTGGTCTATTCTGAAAATGAACGGAGAAAATTATGAAATGGTTAGGCATGGTGTTACAATTCAACAAGACAATGACAGTGGATCTACGTTGAAAGAGTTGAACATTAAAGACAATGATGTCATAACAGTCAGAAAAAGCCCAGAAAAAACAAAGAATTCGTTCGAGGGTAAAAACACGTTTGAACAAACACAAGGACAAAGGAGTAAAACAGGCCAAAGTTTTGTCTCCGATGCCAAAAATAACGAGTCATTGGACATAAGTATAAGAGAAGTCGTCAGTGATAGTGCGATTTTGAAAAGAGGTTCTACTTCTTCAAGACCGCCGATTATAAGCAAAAGTGAATCTCCCGTGACAAATTTTAGCGAGAAAAAGCTCGTTAATTCTTCAGATTTACCGATGTCAAAATTTAATAAAATTTTTGACTCAGGCAACACTAAGATTACAGAATCAATAAAAGAGGATGATTCTTCATTGTCAGACAAAACTGACCAATCGAAAGTAATTTCTTTAAAATTGCCAAATGAAAAATTAACAAATGAAACAAAAAAGAATCAAGCCAAACCTTTGAAAAAAGAAAACACGCAACCACAATGGAAACTAGTGTGCAGAAAGGAGTTATCTAGGTCTATATCGCCAATGAAATTTGACGTACCGAGGAGACGGCCGCAAAAAAATTCTTCTGAAACTAATCAACCGAAATTCCAAGTGGCAGAGTTAAAATTGAAAAAGACTACATCTGATGAAACTCAGCTTGAAACATTTTTAAAATCAGAAGATAGCAAATTTGAACCAGGAAAGTTTACTGATGCAGATGCCAAGTTTGTGCCGTCTAATAATAATTTTCAGAAGATAAGCGAGGAAACTATTACAAACAAGGCTAAGTTTAAAACATCACCTTCAAAATCAGAAGAGATTCATTCTGAAACGAGAAAGTCAGCAGATACAAACACTAAGTTTAAAACATCACCTTCAAAATCAGAAGAGATTCAATCCGAAACGAGAAAGTCAACAGATTCAAACAGAGGGTCGATACCGTCCGGAAATACTTCTCGTCGGGTAAGCAAAGAACCAATGGTGGACAAAGAAATTTTTCTAGAGTACCTGAAAGAAATAGAAGAAAAGTTAAAGAAGAAAGAAGAAAAGAAACAACACCCAAAAGGTATTTTAACAGGCAAAGCAAAGGCAAACAAACTTAAACATGTCCAAATTGTTTCTGATAAAAAAATCGAACCCGAAGTAAAAAAATCCGTTTCACCGCCGAAAATACCCGTAAAGAAAGCACCGTCTGTCAGTCCTCCAAAAGTTCCCCAGGTCAAAGAACCATCTCCAATAAGAGAGGAAATTACGCCATCACCAGAAAAAGATGACACAAGCAATAAAGAAGTTTCTCCGACAAGTATACTGTCAAATGAAAAATCAGAAGGAAGCAAGTCTTCAGGTGGTTCGGAAAAACAATCATCACCTAGAAATGCATCCAACTCCCCTGCTGGATCGAATGAAGACGATGATACATAAAAGAAAAGAGGTTAATATAAGAAAAAAATATTCTCATCTTTTACATCAACTAATATTGTATTATAGCCTCCTTTTAATAGAATCTCAAGTCAGAACAAATAATAAAATATTTCTAAACTTTAAAATATTTAGAGGGAAAAAAAAACATTTTTACACTGTTAATATTTATTTTGATATGATTTTTGTCAAAATAAATACATATATTTTACAAGTATCATACATGATTAAAGATATATTTCTCTTCTTCGCACATATTTTTAATTTTAAATCGAGTTAGAAAATATATTTTTTAAGATTTATATTAACTTTAATAGTTAGTATATTTTTAATGGATCATTAAATGAAGTTTTATTTTTTTGTGAACAATCCATGTTAGTTTATTAAAATGTTTTATGTTCAAGTCTGAACCCATGAAGGGGAAGTAGCTTTTTTTTATGATTTAACTGATTATGTTCACAATTTTTTTTTTTTGTACATATTAATTTAGTTTACATTATGCTGCAAGGCATGGCACAACACACTGGCAGACAGACGGGCACCATAGCTTTTCCGGAGCTTTCTTTAACTTTGCTCTTGCTTTTCGCCTCGTACGCATATTTTCCTTTCGATTTGTACATCCCTCCGCCCTGTAACAATGTTTAATTTAAAGATCTGAAAAAAAAAAAAAGAAGTGTTGTTTAAATACATACTTCTTGTTTCATCATCATACTCTCTTCTTTTTTAGCGAAAAGTTCACCAGGAGGGTAGTACACAGGCGGCCCGGAAATATTCTTTGTATCCCCTTTTTCTTTGACTTTTTCGTTTTCCACCCGGTTAACTTCAATCGTCTTCTCAACTACCGGAGCCGGAGCAGGGGCTGGGCTAGGACCATTATGATTCTGATGATGATGATTAGATTGGTAACGATTTTCAACGACTCGAGTCTCCATGTAGCGATTATTCTAGAGAGAATGTAAATTATGTAGGGACAATGAAGTATTTGATCAGTTCTTACCCTTGGGTCTGGGTCGCCCAAAGAAGCCAATAATTCGTCCAATTGCTTAGGCGGCTGTTGTTCATTTTGAGTCGGCGAAGGGACTGCTGGAAAGGGTCTTGGCATTGTCGAGTGCGAATCGTAATGGTTATTTGTAGTGCTGCTGTATTTGTAACTAGATACAGTATGTGGTGGGGATACATTGTATGTTAGCCGGTGACTAGGATCTGAGGGTGAAAATTTCTGATTAGGAAGGGGAGACTTTGGCCGATACGATTCGTAGCTGTAGGATTTACCTGGAGTTTTCGGTAAGGGGGGTTGCTGAAATGAAACTGGTGATGGTGATCTATGAGGAGGAGGAGTTTTCGGAGCGTCGCTTCTCGTCTCTCTCATAGTGCTGCTGGTGCTGTAGCTGTACGACTTATTTCCTTTACAAACCACAAAAAATGATTAATATTTATAAAATTTCAATTAAATAATTGACACAACTATAAATATTTAAATAATGAAGGAAATACTTGGTGGGTAGTCATTATCAGCATCTCTGTTGTAAGTCACGACTCGCTCTGTGTAATGAGGAGACGGGGGAACGTCTCGGTTCATCGTCGAGTAGTGTTCGTATGAGTGCAAATGGCTCGGAGAAGGCGATCTCTGCTTGAGTGCAAGTGGTCTTTCTTCTGGATGATACTGAGAACTGGGGTCCAACGGAGTAACATCGGTTATTGTAGGTCCTGTAAAAAAAACAAAATTAATAATCGACTTGTGATGTTATACAGACTTCATACCAGTTGTCCTTGTGCTCGTTGTCTTTTCATATCGATAAAACTGCTGAACGGTCGGCGTCTGTTCGCGTTGTTCATAGTATGTGTTATGCTGGATCGGACTCGGGTCTCTACTCCTGCTACCTGTAAAGACAAGCTCGCGCATCGGAGATGCACTTCTGCCTCGGATAGTTTTTTCCTCTCTGTAACGTCTTTCAACCGATCTTGATGCATGTGGTGTGCTAGTAGCATGATCTCTATCAATAAAAGTATGATGAAATTAACAAAAAGATTTTTTTTGACAGTATTCATTTTAATTTATTTTTACTTACATCAATCCAGAATCAAGTCCATGCGCTGAAGAACTTCTTACTGTTGATGCTAAAAAAAAAAAGATAAAACTTAATTCTAAATTCACTAATTTCGTGGTCCGCTTGACCAATTAAATCATTACAATTAATTAAGGTTTTTAGTTGAGAAAAAAAGTTAATGGCATGAGCGGGATTCGAACCACGATCTTCAGCTAGATACGCCGCTGCTCTACTACTTGAGCTTTCGTTACCTCGATCCACTCGGACATCAACTTCCTATCTCAACCCTACCTTATGAAAAATGGCAAAAAGGAGGGAAAACTCAAGTGGTAGAGCAGCGGTGTATCTAGCCGAAGATCGTGGGTTCGAATCCCGCTCGTGCCATTAACTTTTTTTCATCTCAACTAAAAACCTTAATTAATTTTAATTTTAAAGATATTGTTTAAACAATTGTATTAACACATTTCAATATTTCCACAAAAATCAAATTTTTCAAATTTTCAAATAAAGAAAAATTTTCTTCATAAAGCTGATTGTTTATAGCAATATTTGCAATGTCTAAAGCATCATAAATATCTAATCGTTTTATGTATTCCATTAATCTTAGATCTTTTAATATAAGCGAATCCTGCAAATTCCTATGGTTGCTCAAGACTGAATTTTCAAGCACAAATTTTTCAAGTAATTTAATCAGTTGGTAGATCCACTGTCTGCTGACACTTTTACAGTACCAGAAATGTCTTTAGAATCTTGCATCTCAGGCAGAGCTTTTTGTAAAATCTGATCTAAGGCTGTTTGTTTGTATAGATTGATTTTATATCAAACTTCTCCTCACAGTTCATCTCTTCTTCTTAAATCTTCTTTCTTCTTCAGATTTGAGTAATGAATTTTAATTGCAGACACTCGTGAGATCACTGTACTTGCTCATAGTCTGTACAACTAAAATGAGGATCCTTCTTGCTGTACTTTTCAACAGCTTTGCTGTCGTAAGTTTGTTTTTATTGCAACCGAATAAATCTTGGCCATTATTTGAATCAGGATGCAAGCTTTGTGAACTCTAGTTCTCTAGCCGAGGCAGTAAAATAAGATAAAACATAATTATAAATTATTTCAATAAACTGGTCACTTATGGCTACTAAACATACGGATTATTATAAGGTATATGGATAACGGTTCAATTACGCCAATGCTTTTTGTGGGAAGGAAGAATGTGCACATTAATTTGCATTTTTACAACATAATTTTCTTTATATCGCAGCAACTGCTTATTATCATTTGAGTTGTTCTCATCTGATATTTAATTATCTTGATCGACATTTTCAAAAAGTTCAAAAAAAATTATAAAAACAGAAGGAAAAGTGAACAATAATTTATTTCTTGGGAAGAAAAGATGATTAATTGCGTGAAAGTATTGACTGTGAGAAAATAACTTCGTCATAACTTAAAAAAATATCATTCACTTTTTAATTTAGTTTAGTTAATAAGACCCCCTTCTGCCGATCCGATTAAATTATGAATTGATTTTCAATCTAAATTGTGCCATCTTTTGTTTAAAGTATTTTCTTCTTTTTATTCTTTTGTCACCATTTGCCTATTATGAAAAAAATCACTTTTTAACTCATTAACATAAAAAATAAACAATGGTTCAAAAATTTTCAAGAAGAAGAATGATAAATTCACTATTTTTCATGGTCCGCTTGACCAATTGATATCATTCAATTAATTAAGGTTTTAAGTTGAGATAAAAAAGTCAGTGTCACGAGCGGGATTCGAACACACGACCTTCGGTTAGATACGCTTTACCACTTGAGCTATCGTGACTTCGATCCTCTTGAGCACTAACTTCCCATCTCTCCCATAAATAACATGAAAAATAAGTAGAATGAAATGTACTATGAATTCATTCAATAATACAAGCAGTGTAAAACTGGATGGACATGGAAAATTAGTCATATCAGAACTTCTAGGACTTCTTGATTTGTTCTGCTGTTTTCAATATTTTTACCGGCTAATTAGCAAATAAAAACATCTGTCGAGTTGTAAAACGTTCAGGAAAATGATCCCTCGTGACTTTTACATTTGTATTTCAGTTTTCTTTCGGAAGTGGTTTGCCAAAAATCTTTGATACTTCAGGTTCAGAGTTGCTGTTTTGGGTTGTTTAATGTATTGATCATCATCAGTGAGCAACTTTTTAAAGAAAGGGAGTTTGCATTGCGAAAGGACAGAAAGCGTTCTGGCCCTTTTCTCATCTTCAAGCAATTCATCGAGCATTTTTTCATTTCTTTCACTCTTTCCTTTCAGACCGTTTTCAAGTAGTCTCCGTCCAAAACAAGCATCTCCATGCTTGCAGAACCCATTTACCTTTGCTTATCACCACCTCACTTGCAAGTTGAAAATTGAAGAATTTGGTAGGACTTAAACTTCAAACCTTAACCCGGAAGCCCCATATTTCTCACTTCTATTTTTTCACCCTTTATCATTTCCGTCATGACAGGCACTTTCTCCTCTTTAGCGAAAACCCCTAGTTTCCTCCCTTATTCTCCTCCACTTTGATTATGGATGCATGTTTATGAGGGATGCACTGGGGGCCTTGACGACAGGCTTGTCTAATAAATTATTTTGTATATTTTAATCTTCAGCTGCCTAAGGAGGTCCCAGGCCATTGAACTGTATACAGACTTGAAGCAGTACATCCTTTCTACTTTCTTGGTTCTTTCTTCTATCAGATATCTTCTTATTACCCTCCCTACATTCTGAGTTCTTCACCTTCAGATCCTATGTCCACTAACTAACCCCTTATTGCGTTCAGTCATTCCTATGGATTTCCCTTTATGGACAACTTTCTTCTAGTCTTTACGAAAAAAAAAAAAAGAAAAAAAAAGAATTACAATTAATGTTTTTAGTTGAGATAAAAAAGTCAATGGCACGAGCGGGATTCGAACCCACGATCTTCGGCTAGATACACCGCTGCTCTACCACTTGAGCTATCGTGACCTCGATACCACGGAATTAGTGAATTTAATGATTGAAGAATATTTATATTTTGTATGTACCTATTTTTGTAAATAGACATATTTTTATAGATTCATCAGGCTTTGAAACTTTGCAAATATGTTGTATTCATAATTCATTATTTAAGGAGACTTTAATTCGTACCATGATAAATGCTAAATAAAAAATAAAAAAATATTCCAACTCCAAATATGAAAGAAATACAAATAAATTTCTCAAATAAATCAGAGAATATCCAATATTTTAAGTAAAGAAGCTAAATTGATTACTTAAAAAAAATTAAAAGAAAAAAATAAATCAGAGAGTGACCCATTGATCTATATCCAAGTATACTAGGATCTATTTTTACAACATCCGGCCGTTTTGTCTTATACCGTGACTGACCTCTTCCCGCCTGAGAAACACGCTTAAAATTATAACAAATTTAACAGAATTACATGCAGTTAAATCAATGGGCATCTTCCGTCCTATTTTTTCCCGGGGTTGTTTTGATCTAATTGATTCACAATTAATAATCAATAAATCACATTTACTTGATATAAAATTACGATTTAAAAACAGGAGAAAATAATACAGTGGAGTCTAGCTAATAACATGTTTTAATCGGCTTAGGGGAAATCTTTCAGCCTGCAAAATATTTTTTTTTGTATTTTATAATTAAATTTAACCGAATTTAATGGTCTTTTATTGTCGCTTTGGCAATTTCAAACTATTGCTGCACATTTAAGCTTACACTTTACAGCTTATTTTTTAGCTTTTAACCAAGCCAGCGAGTATAGAAATATCAAAATAATCAGACTTAAGCCCTGCAGTCGATTTCGAAAGTTTTGTTCTGTCAGACGCGTTTCAACTTCTCGCCGTCATCAGTGTTGGGTTTTAACTTACATTATTACTAGAAACTAAAGACGGCGTTAAGCCGAAATGCATTTGATAAACAACAGTGAGGAAAGAAATATCAAAAGTTCAGAAAAGACAAATCCTGCAGATGGGTCCATTTCGAAAGTTTTGTTCTGTCAGACGCATTTCAACATCTCGCCATCTTCAGTGTTGGGTTTAAACTTAAATTATTACTAGAAAATAAAGTCAGCGAGAAACCGAAATACATTTGACAGACAACAGCGAGGTTAGAAATATCAAAATGATAATCAAATCAACAGTTGGGTCCATTTCGAAAGTTTTTTCTGTCAGACGCGTTTAAACTTCTCGCCATCATCAGTGTTGGGTTTTGACTTACATTATTACTAGAAACTAAAGACGGCGTTAAGCTGAAATGCATTTTATAAACAACAGCGAGGATAGAAATATGAAAATAATCAGAAAAGACAAATCCTGCAGTTGAGTCCACTCGAAAGTTTTGATCTGTCGGACGCGTTTCAACTTCTCACCATCATCAGAGTTGGGTTTTAACTTAAATTATCACTAGAAACTAAAGACGGCGATAAGCCGAAATGCATTTTACAAACAACAATGAGGAAAGAAATACCAAAATAATCAGAAAAGACAAATCCTGCAGTTGGGTCCATTTCGAAAGTTTTGTTCTGACAGACAATTTAAATTCTCGCCATCTTCAGTGTTGGGTTTTAACTTAAATTATAACTAAAATCTAAAGACGGCGAGTAGCCGAAATGCATGTGACAGACTTCAGCGAGGATAGAAATATCAAAATGATCAGTAAAGACAAATCCTGCAATTGAGTCAATTTCGAAAGTTTTGTTCTGTCAGACGCGTTTCAACTTCTTGCCATCTTCAGTATTGTGTTTTAGTAAAAATTATAACTAAAAACTGAGGATGGTGAGAAGTAGAAACGCAACCGATAGGCCAAACCAGTCAGTATAGAAAGATTAAAATAATCAGACTTAAACCCTGCAGTTGGGCCCATTTTGAACTCTTTTCTGTCAGACGCGTTTCAATTTCTCGCCATCTTCAGTGTTGAGTTTTAACTTAAATTATAACTAAAAATGCATTTTACAAACAACAGTGAGGAAAGAAATATCAGAATAACCAGAAAAGCAAAACTGCAGTTGTGTCAATTTCGAAAGTTTTGTTCTGTCAGCGTTCAAACTTTTCGCCATCATCAGTGTTGGGTTTTAACTTACATTATAACTAGAAACTAAAGATGGCGTTAAGCCGAAATGTATTTGATGACCAACAGTGAGGAAAGAAATATCAAAATGATCAGAAAAGGCAAATCCTGCAGATGGGTCCATTCGAAAGTTTTGATCTGTCGGACGCGTTTCAACTTCTCGCCATCTTCAGTGCTGGGTTTTAGCTTAAATTGTTACTAGAAACTAAAGACGGCGATAAGCCGAAATGCATTTTACAAACAACAGTGAGGAAAGAAATATCAGAATAACCAGAAAAGCAAAACCTGCAGTTGTGTCAATTTCGAAAGTTTTGTTCTGTCAGACGTTTCAACTTCTCGCCATCTTCAATGTTGGGCTTAAACTTAAATTTTTACTAGAAAATAAAGACAACGGAGAAACCGAAATACATTTGACAGACAACAGCGAGGATAGAAATATCAAAATGATCGTAAAAAACAAATCCTGCAGTTGAGTCGATTTCGAAAATGTCAGTCGCGTTTCAACTTCTAGCCTTCATCAGTAATGAATTAAAAATGATTACTAAAAACTGAGGATGGTGAGAATTAGAAACGCACCCGATAGACCAAACCAGCCAGTAGAGAAAGATCAAAATAATCCAACTTAAACCCTGCAGTTGGGCCCATTTTGAACGTTTTGTTCTGTCATACGTTTCAACTTCTCGCCATCTTCAGTGCTAGGTTTTAACTTAAATTATTACTAGAAACTAAAGACGTGAGAAGCCGAAATGCATTTTATAGAAACCAGCGAGGACAGAAACATCAAAATGATCGTAAAAAAACAAATCCTGCAGTTGAATCGATTTCGAAAGTTTTGTTCAGACGCGTTTCAACTTCTCGACATCTTCGGTTTTGGGTTTTAACCAAAATTATGACTAAAAACTAAGAATGGCGAAAAGGTGAAACGCACCCGACATCAAAACAGCTAGGACAAAAGGACAAAATGATAAGAAACGAAATAACTACATTATCACCATTGTCCAATTTTTACAAAACTTTTCGATTATTTTTTAAAGTACACATGCCTGTTCCACCTGAACACTTGTGTCTTACATTCATCCCTTTATAAACCACACTTGTTTCCCTGCTTATTTTTGCTTTATAGCAGTTATTGGGCTAATCTCTCTCAGTCTCAGTTCTGACTAGAAGGATTTTCACGGTTTACCGAAAACTGAAGACGGCGAGAAGCAGAAACGTATCCGACTGACAAAACCACTATCCCCCTTGTTCAAATTATTTTCAATGTACTCATACCTAATTGGTACTTGATTACTTGACCAATTAATACCTGATTCCGGACAGATTTTGCTGCTTGTTTCTGCTTTATTGCAATCATTGGGCTAAGTGAACAATGCTTCAATACTTGGTTTCAATTAGTTTTGACTACAAAGATTTAACTGAATTTTCACAAAAATTATACAGAAAACTGAAGACGGCGAGAAGCAGAAACGTCGCCGACGTGCCCAAACACTATCACCTTTATCCAGCTTTTACGAAAGTACAGAATGTTTTTCAAATAGTATACGTATGTATAACGCCTTATCCAATCTGTACATTCATCCCTTTATAAACCATATCGGTTTTACCTGTTTCAGTTTTATTGTAATTATTCGGCGGATAATAATTGTCCAATTATGGATCGTAACGACTCGACGTTTGTCGTCCAATAACCAAAATTTCATTTGTCGCCGAAAATCAAATAGATTACACACGGCATTTGAAAAATGGCAAAAAGGCGGGAAAATTCAAAAGGTGGGTTGAGATGGGAAGTTAGTGTCCGAGTGGATCGAGGTCACGATAGCTCAAGTGGTAGAGCAGCGGCGTGTCACTTATGTCACTGACTTTTTTATCTCAACTAAAACCTTAATTGAAAAATATTAATTGGTCAAGCGGACCAAGAAAACTAGTGAATTTAATAACCAAAATGGTTATATACATCAGTGTACTCACTTTCTGAAAAATTCCTCCTCTGAGCTGAGTTTAAATCGTCGAGTAGAGAATCCAACTCGGAAATGTTCTTCTTCATCCTGTAATCTCCTGCCCCTGGAATTAAGCTTTCTTTCATTCTCATATTCCAGATATAACCTGTGATAAAGAACTTGCATCACCTGTAGAATTTTCCACGGCACTATATTTGTAAGATTTATTGTAAGAGTGTCCAGTTGAGTTCTGAAAACAAAGAAAGTGGAAATAAAAGAGATTTTAAGAAGCCATTTCCTACAGGGTGTGTAAAGGAAGATCAGCAGTTAAGATTGAGGATCTTGTGACCTCCTGGCATCCGGCCTAGAAAAACGTTCAATCCGTTTTTTTCACTTTCAATCGGTGCCCAATTAATAGTGTCTGCCTGTGCCAAACTTTTCTTCTCACGGAAAAAAAACCGATAAATCAAGAGCTTAATCGGCTGAAAATCAAGAGGCGTCGACCGATCCACTACAACTCGCCACGTTGTGCTTTTACTCGTTAATCTCAATGAACGAATCATTTTGGGGCTTAGGAAAGATTGAACGCTGAATGAATCGGATTTGAAAAAAAACCTCGTTATTTTAAAACCAGCTCTGTCTATTTATATAATCAGGGAGTGAGCCAGAAAAATATAATTCTGAATTTTAACAAAATACAAACACAAAGATTCGATATATGTTGCTTAAATAATTGGCATGATTGTTTGGTCAAGATCTATAAAAAGAAAACTCATAAATGTGCCATATTCATTCAACTTCTTCTGCGTCATATTTCATAGAAAAGGGACCAAGAGGTTTAAGAAAAGCTCAAAAATGATAGTTTACTCGATTTCACTTAATAAAAATATTTACCAACACAACAACAACTAAAATAAAATGCCAAAAGAGTTTAAAGACAAACAAGAAAAAAATGTATATATCCAAGGGAGTCTTACAAGGAGAATCTTTGGCGCCATCACTGTTTTCTTTATTTTATTTGATTTTATAAATTTTTTTTAATGAACTAGGCCTAACTGAAGTAAGATAAAATTAATTTGGATACATACTTGCACGATTGTTTGCAGACTGAAGCGATTCAGCCCAGAGAATTTTAAATTTTTTTTTGGCAATATTCATGAAAAATTCGTTGTCTATTATGAAAAAAGACAAAAGTAATGGTTTTCAGTTCATTTGCCAAAATGCCAAAAGAGTTTAAAGACAAACAAGAAAAAAAATGTATATATCCAAGGGAGTCTTACAAGGAGAATCTTTGTCACCAACACTGTTTTCTTTATTCTTATCTGATTTGATACATTTTTTAATGAACTAGGCCTAACTGAAGTAAAATAAAATTAATTTGGATACATACTTGCACGATTGTTTGCAGACTGGAGCACATTAGCCCAGAGAATTTTAAATGTATTTTGTCAGTATTACATGAAAAATTCGTTGTCTATTATGAAAAAAGACAAAAGTAATGGTTTTCAGTTCATTTGCCAAAATGCCAAAAGAGTTTAGACAAACAAGAAAAATATTTATATCCAAGGGAGTCAATTACAATATTAATAAATAATAGAAAAAAATATTAATACATTGTCACAATATAAAAACAGCAGAATACAAATTCATTCACACAAAACCAACATAACACCGCAAGAATAGCACCAAATTTTATGTGAATGTGATTGGTTCAGAATTTATATTTACATCTTAAATTGTATTTTTTCCAATCATATGTTTTGTAATTTATCCAGGCCCTGAAGATGACCCGAATAAATGTCGAAACGTCCGCAAAAGAATAAAGAAACGGTGTGTTCCTAAACTACCTCATTTTTAACCGCTCCTCACGACTTCAAAAAAACGTATTTATTTAGTTGACTGTTTATACAAGGTGACAAGTATATGCATTTTTTATTATATTTATACATGCTTCTTCTTGTGCTTCTTTATAACATAAAGAGTACAGTATTATTTCAATATGTGAATCTTTGTTTAAGTTGGTTATCAACACTCAGTGATTGAAGTTCTATTTAATAAAGGAAATAGTTGAACCATTACTATTATTCTTTATATTTATTTATTCTGTTATTGATATGCGGTGTGATGGTAAGTTTTCTGTCTAAAGTTATCCCTAAGTATTTTACTGTTTGTCCACTCTATGTTTCGGTTGTATATTATTAGTTGGTGATGTAGTTTAGGTCGTCTTTTGGTAAACAAAATTGCCTGCGTTTTGTCTATGTTGATTAGTATTTTCCACCTGTGGAAATATTTTAGCTTATGGAGAGTGCCAGTCGATTTTCTATGGCGTCTCCACGATGAGACATTCATCAGCGAACAATGACAGCGAACATTTTCTTTTATGGGCGTGACATTTATATAAATGGAAAACAAGATTGGACCTAGCACTGAGCCCTGAGACACACCCGCAGGCCGACTTCTTTTTTCAGAGTTTTCATTTCCTACACGGACCTGAAAAGTTCGACCTGAAAAGCATAAGCTGATCAGCCGAACAACATATGGTGGATAACCATAAACTATTAGCTTATAGAGAAGATCTTCATGCCAAACCGTATCGGTCTGTACTTTCAACAGCAACACTCTCTTAAGGTTTCTTTATTATTTACTATTTGTATTTTGTCGAAATCAAAGTTGTGTTGGTTTCAAACTAGTGTGTGTCCAATGCAGTAGGATTAATTTTTGGTGGAAATGATAAATGATGGAGTGAGTGTGGTGTTCAATCCTTTTTAAAAAAGGATTAATTTTTGGTGTTTTACAGTATGTAAATGTGTTGTTTTTTTCCGTTTTTCTAGTTATTGCGATGCGATTGGAATGCATGTAGCTGGATAATTTATAGAATTATTTTTCTAAATTACATCGGATTTGTAGGCTGTTGGTGACTTTGGTCTTTGACTTTGGAAAAACCCACTTTTATGGGCGTGTCATTTATATAAATGGAAAACAAGACTGGACCTAGCACTGAGCCCCGAGGCACACCCGCAGACGGACTTCTTTTTTCAGAGTTTTCATTTCCTACACGGACCTGAAAAGTTCGGCCTGCCAAGTATAAGCTGACCACCCGAACAACATATGGTGGAAAACCATAAACTATTAGCTTATACAGAAGAACAGGAAAAAAGCGTGTGTGCTGTTTGTAGTTTGGCAGGTTATTTTAATATGGTTTTAGGAGAAAAATGTACTTAATTTGTGGACGAATGGACAGGGACATGTTGAGTGGATATTGGTTTGTCTTTGTATGACTGAGTTGATGACGTGTTGTGTACTGTGGATGGTGTAGTTTCGTGCAGTGTTGGGTTGGCATAGTTAATGATTCTATTAATTATGTTGTTTTGTAAGATTTGTTTGTATGTTTGAATATTTTTGGTGTTTCAAAATAGTGTGTGGACCAAAAACAGCAGAATGCAAATTCACAACAATTTCACACTTGACAAATATGACACCACGCTTTCACTTTACCCAGGCCCTGAAGATGACCCGAATAAAGGTCGAAACGTCGGCAAAAAATAAAAAAGGATTATTTCTAAACTACGTCATTCTTGACCGTTCCTCACTTCAACAAAATTTATTTATTTAATTGACTGTTTACACAAAGTGAGAAGCATATCTATTTTTTTATTTCTAATCCATGTACTTACACATGTTTCTTCTTGTGCTTCTTTATAGCATGAAGAGTATAGCATTTTTTCAATAATTATTCGGAATGGTAAGATGTGGTCTGGTGTGATGTAGGTTTCAGAAAAAAAAAATTTTCTTTATCGTGCTAATGTTTCGAACTTTATTGAGATCATCTTCAGGGCTCAAAGTGTTTGTTTTCTGTGTAATTGTGCCATTCTTGCGTGCCGTGTTGAGAATGCCATAATTTCAATATGTGAATCTTTTCTTTTATTTATAAATGAAGATTTAGTTATCATAATTCTATTTCATTTGGATAAAATGATTATTGAAAGATTATGTAGGTCTAATCAAAATCCCCCAGGGAATTATCATATAACAGTAAATAAAAATCTATTCAGTTCTATTCAAACAGGAAAAAAAAGCTTACAATTTATTAGTCAACTCACCCCGCTGTTGTATGAACTTTCATTGACCTGGTGCGTTGGATTGGCAGGGTTCAGGTATTCGACGTGGTACTCGGTTGTCGTGCCATCGGGGGCTCCGTCGCGCGTCGTCGTCCTCCTCACGCTCCTGTATCCGATCATGTTTCCTCCGTCCATGTTCAAGTGTGAATTCGACCTGGAGACGGTCGTCTGCAGATCTTCTAGTAGAGCATCTAAAACAGGAATTGTAGTGAGCAATTTAGTCTGGTTTGGCTCGTTGATAATGGATTAGTCGGCAGTTAGGTCATTACTATTTAACGCCGGGTACGCCCAGTCTCGCTGTTCGGCCTTGGCAAGACGCGCTTTTTTTTCTTTTTCTTAGGGTCGACTTAAGTAATCCAATCTTTTTTTTTAATAAGTTAATCCTCATTAGACAAGATATAGTTAATTCTGAACAAAGATTGTATACATTTGAAAAATATTTTAATTTAAAATTCTAGGATGATGTTGGTCCGAAACATTCTGGGAGGGAAGTTATGATTTTTCCTCCTGGACATACATTTACATATTTTTACATTAATCAAAATTCATTCTAGATAGCTCGAAGACAAACTGAATAAAGGTGAAAGTGCATTAAGGATGTATAGACATTTTTCTCATCTATACCGCTCTCATCTACTGTATCTTTGTATATATGTTAATCTGTTTATCAATTTAAATGGTTCTCTTTTACACCCTCACTCTCTCTCTCTTTCTCTGCTTATTTCTTTTTTGACCATTTCCTCTCTCTTTCTCTTGTTACTGCATTCCCTTACTCTCTATCTATACAGATCATTCTTCTTTCTACCTAACTCCTTCTTTGTACCCTCCAATTCTCATTCTCTCTCTGCCTTTTTATATACCTCTATATCTACCTACCTATATATCTATTTCTCTAGGTTCCTTCACACTTTATTTGTGCAACTCGTCCTTCTTTATACTTTTTTTGCCTTCAACTCTCGTTTTTTTGTTTTCCTCTTTATATATCTCACACTTTCTCTTTTTCACTCTCTTTTCCTATCTATACTCTCTGATTTCCTATCTATACAGCTCTTTCTTCCTACCTTCCACTTTGGTTTGGCTTTCGTTTACCCTCTCTAGATTGTTGTGTAGTTGTAATAATACTCATTTATCATTATCTGAATAATCGATAATGATAAATGAGAATTATTACAACTATCTCATTATCGATTATTCATCCAATCGCTTTCTCTCTCTCTTTCTTTGTACTTTCTCTGACTTTTGATTTTCACAGTTCCTTCTTCCTACCTTCCACTTTTTTTGCCTTTCGTTTAACCTCTCCTTCTTTACATAGCCAATTATCTCATTATCGATTATTCATTCTCTCTCTCTTTCTTTGTACTTTCTCTGACTTTTGATTTTCACAGTTCCTTCTTCCTACCTTCCACTTTGGTTTGGCTTTCGTTTAACCTCTCCTTCCTTACATAGCCAATTATCTCATTATAGATTATTCATTTTCTCTCTCTCTCTCTCTCTTTCACTCCCCCTTTTTCGTTTTCTGTGAACTCTGTGACTCATTATGTATACATCGTTTCCGTCTTTTCTTTCTGTGCCTCCTTAAACTCTTGTTCTTTATCTTCCTTCTGATATATCCCCCCACCTTTTCTCTCTCTCTCACTCTCTCTTTTTCTTTCTCTGTGCTCTCAGATGTATTATCTCTTTCTTCCTATCTTCAATTTTCTTTGCCTTTCGTTTACCCTCTCTTTATATATTAAACTATCTCATTATCGATTATTCATTTTCTCCCTCTCTTTCACTCCCCGTTTTTCGTTTTCTGTGCACTCTGTGACTCATTATCTATATATCTTTTCCGTCTTTCCTTTCTGTGTCTCCTTATCTCTCTCTATCTCTCCCTCGCTTGCACACAACTTCTCTCGTTCTTATCTCGTTCTCTCTCTCTCCCTCTTTATCTATATCAACCGTAGTACTCTATTTCTCTATTCCCTCGACTCTCCCCTCTGCTCGAATTGATTGTACTGCGATTTCTTTCTACTTCTCTCTTTTTTGCCTTCTTCGTTTCTTGTGCTCTCTGCCACTCTCTCTCTCTCTCTCTCTCTCTCTCTCTCTCTCTCTCTCTCTCTCTTTCTTTCCGTCTTTATTTACCTCAACCTTTTTTCTATCTCTCCCACCCTGCTTTTTTCTTCCATCTTACTCTCTGTTTTGGCGTCTATTTCTCTTGTTCGCTCTCCCTCGCTCTTATATATTTCACACCTTCTCTCTCGCTCCCTCTTTATCTATATCAACCTTAGCACTCTATTTCTCTCGTCCCTCTCCCCTCCACTCTGCTCGTATTGATTGTACTGCTGTAACTTTCTATATCTCTCTTTTTTGCATTCTTCGTTTCTTGTACTCTTTCTCTCTCTCTTTTATTTACCTCAACCTTTTCTCTCAGTCTTCCACCCTGCTCTTTTCCTCCTTCTTACTCTCTATTTTTGCGTCTACTTCTCTTGTTCCCTCTCCCTCGCTCTTATGTATCTCATACCTTCTCTCTCTCTCTCTCTCTCTCTCTCTCTCTCTCTCTCTCTCTCTCCCTCTACATATTTCTTTTTCTTTATGTGTCATTTATCTCAAAATCTCTTTCCACACCCTTACTTACTCTGTTATTATTTTTTTTCCGTCCATCATTTGCTCTCTTTTTTAATTTTTTTTCTCTCTCTATCTATCTTTATCTCCATCTATCTATCTATCTTTCTATCTATCTCACACCTTCCCTCCCTTGCTCTTTCACTTTGTTTTTCTCCTAACTTCTGGTCTTCTCTGTTCTACTCTCTATCTGTATATCTCTTATTCCGTAATATACTGTTTTTCTCTTGTACTTCATTTTGCCTGAAGATATTTTTTCTAAAGCTGTTTTCCGATGATTTTATCGGAACCTCTATCTTTCATTATAATTTAATCTGTTTCTCTTGCTAGTTTGCCGTAATTTACAATAAAATTTTAGAGAGTAGAGTAAAATTGATTCTTTTTTGTCGGTGGAAAAGAAAGAAGGAATAGTTAAATATTCAAGAAAATCAAATGTCCCAGACCAAATCATCATAAATTCCGCCCATTCTAAAATTTCATACATTTCTTATATTATAGATAGTTCACGGTATTGATTATTAAAAGAACAATTTGGGCTTAAATAGGCGAAAAAGGATATTTTCCATAAATCTACCATTTATGAAAGAATTGTTAGGGAAGTTACAAGAGCCGTTATAATTTTTATATCATCTGTGCTAATTTTTGTAATAAAATCTTCAATATATTGTTGGGAAATAGAGAAAATTGATAAAAGAACGAACAGATGTTGCGGCCGAAGGGCAAGGTTCTGAATTATAGGCGACCTCGGTCGCACAATTAGCCGGAGCACGCAGGCAAAAGGTTGTTAGCAAATTGCAAGAAAACCTTTTTTCTTTTTTGCCTTAACACGATAAACCGATTGGCGAATAGGAATCCAAAATGAAAATGAATAGCCCGACCTTCAAATTCCGGTTATGGGCATGTAGACCACGAATTGCAGAACGTCTCCTGAAGTAGAGTCCATTTACATACCAAATACACCAACACATTCAACTCTTTAAATAACATCGACTGTTTAGGAATTTTTTTTTTTTAAATCGAATTAGATTGTTTTTAGCGATTTTTAAAATTATTTTGTCAATATTCTTTCAAATACTACCTTCCTCGAGGACATTGCATTCAATAAAAAAAGAATAAATGTGCCTACAGTTCAAGCTGTTTAATACAAGAAATTTTTGATTATAAATAAAGGAAATTTGATGAAATGTACTTTAACTTGGAAAAAAAAAGGATCCTCGGTGAGATCACAACCGAACGACAATTCTTTAAGATTTGCCGAGCTTTCGACGATTATAGCATCATCATCACGGCCTATTTATTGTAGAAAAATATGGCAGTTAGAACATGTATCATTTAAAAAACAAAATTTTAAAAAAAATTATATTTTTCTTATTTTACCTCGATGAGTGTTCAAATATATCTTGAGAAAAAGAAACTGCATTTATAATGAGATTATTTAAAATTTGGTGAAGCACATTAAAAGTATGGAATTAATTAAAAAAAATAAAAACAACATAATTTATAATTACAAAAAAACAACGTGGTCGTATAGGTTTCCTTGGTTAAAATATACATATTAATACATGCCTCTTTTTTTTTCTTTTTATAAAATTACTTTTTTCAGGTACATTTGAATATTACAGTTAAGATTAATTAAGTTATTTTAAATTGTACTTTACTTTTAAATTGTATATAGTACAAGTTAAAAAAGTTTACTTAATCTTAACTGTGATATTCAAATGTACAATACATTTGAATATTACAGTTAAGATTAATTAAGGTATTTTAAATTGTACTTTACTTTTAAATTGTATATAGTACAAGTTAAAAAAGTTTACTTAATCTTAACTGTGATATTCAAATGTACAATACATTTGAATATTACAGTTAAGATTAATTAAGGTATTTTAAATTGTACTTTACTTTTAAATTGTATATAGTACAAGTTAAAAAAGTTTACTTAATCTTAACTGTGATATTCAAATGTACCTGAAAAAAAGTAATTTTACAAAAAGAAAAAGAAAAAAGGGCATTAATTTAAAAAATTATTTTTAATTAATTCTATACTGTTAATATTTAGACACTGAGATTCACCTAATTTTAAGTGATCTAATTGTAAATGCATTAAAGACAACATAATATAAAATAATAATTCAGATATCGTGAGATGCGGTCGGGTGTGATGTAGGTTTCAGAAAAACATTTTCTTTATCGTGCCAACGTTTCGATCTTTTATTGAGATCATCTTCAGGGGGTCGTGTTGAGAGTGCTTACTCAACGACACGCAAGAATGGCTCAATTACACAGAAGACAAACACTTTGAGCCCTGAAGATGATCTCAATTAAAGATCGAAACGTTGGCACGATAAAGAAAATGTTTTTTTAAAACCTACATCACACCCGACCGCATCTCACGATATCTGAATTACTATCGATTAACGGTCACTAATCTCTACACATAATATAAAATTTTAAAAAACAACGTGGTCTTATCGGTTTCCTTGGTTAAAAGATACATGTAAGTACCACTGTTTTTTAAATTTTATATTATGTTGTTTTTAATTAATTCCATACTGTTAATGTTTAGACACTGAGCTTCACCTAATTTTAA